GTGCGCGAGCAGACACTTAAATGCGCAAGCGTTCGTTCAATGAAAGGCGAACAAATTCAAACGATTATAACTTCGGTCCCTGATCATTGAATTGAGGACTCTATAGGTATACACAAGAGTAGTATATAACCTTATGCCCACTGAATTTTATTTGTTACTAGACCTTCTGATAGGAAGTGTTGAAGGAAATTATTCGTATCTGTAGTGCAGAATACCACGCAAATGAGGATATTTTGAGAAATCTCCATTTTCGATGCAATCGGTCCGTCAATCTGAGTTCACGAAATGTGTTGGTTCGCCGATTGGAACTCAGACGTGTTTATCGAGACGGAATTTTAGCAAGAATATTTACTGTCGGTTTTTTTGGTATGTTTAGCTATTGCCGGTATTGATCGAATAAATTAACCGTCATAATAAAGAACATTTTAACATTTTGACCTCATTAAGTGCCATAATACATACTGTATTTTACGGGCGTCGCAGTAGTTTAACGGTAAGTGAACTTGCGGTCGCCGGTATCTATCTATATATCTTAATATCTATATCTATATATCTAATATCCGGTATCTATATATCTTAATGAAAATATGCAATTGTAGAGGGAATCGATTTAATCTATTATTGTATACATTAAATTTTCATATTGCAATGTATCAGGTTTAGGATTTTGGAGCGACCCCTTACACAATGATATAAATTTAGAATTAGAGCCGTAGGAAGAAATCGAACACGTATTAATCATTTTTCTCCCACACGTTCCTAGTATTAACTCAAACTTAGTGTTCATTTTTTACCAAAATGTTATGAAATGGCAAAACCTTGCAACGTTTAGTGAAAGCTTCTCAGGCGCCGAGCTAAGACTTACTTAGGGGCGGCTGTTGGGGCATCTGCACTGGATGCTCTGGAATCTAGATGAATATTTTGAGGTCAATAAATTCCCTCCATGAATGAGTGCGCCTTTAAATTCTTTTGGTACCCCGTGGTATTCTGAAAATATTTTCAACATTTGGAAGTGAAACATTTGTTTCAGGATATAAGGTAGTAAAATATCGATTAAAAAGAAAATAATGACATTGGATGTTTTGGTGAACATTTTGCTTAAAGTAAATAGAATAAATTATCGTAACCAATATAAATACTATTTATTCCAGTGCGCTCAGCTTGCGCGTTAACGAGGACTGAAGTCAGAATTTTTACGATTACCTATTATATGAGCAATACTTTGTTAGCAAATAATTACTTCTATAAAATCATTGAACTAAATTCTACTATATGTGATTCAAATCTTAGAAATCCATTAAAAACGACAAATATGCTCTTCAAGAATTTGCAGATTTGGTAAAGTCATAGAAAGTTCACCGCCTCGGCTGCCATCGGGTGCCGAAACAGCCGGTCAATATCCATACCAGCGCTAAACTTGATCACAGCTGTTAATATGCATGCCGAGCATCATTGAGCATTAAAGTTTGTTTTCGACACTATTTTTTTTCAAAGTCCACATCAAGTGTATCAAATCAGGTTTCAAGAGAGTAATGGCTCCAAAATTTAAGATGATGTTTTCCCCAACATAGGAATTTCAAGACGTATGAGAAACCCTTATAGCAATTGCGATGAAAGCGGTAAAAGCTGTCCTGCTCTCAATGATTATCAGAATTAATTAATCGCCTATCATCATCATCAATATCATCGCGCGCAAGTTCAGTAGGAGACATCAAATAATTGGCTCCCAGCTCTGTGCTTATGGCCGAACCTACAGCTTTGACCTGCGCTCGCGCACTCCCTGATTGATGATATAAAAGCGGATGATTGATGATTTTGATGCAGGTCTACAAGCCTATCAGCTATAATATCGCTGTTCAAATCACAAATAAAAGGTTTACTGTTAACCTGGATGAGTCCCTGGATTCGAGATGACGGTAAAAAATAGGAGCATGCATTAATTCGATTGGTTTCCGATATTTAATAACTGTTCTCCATCTGATTAAAAAATTTTATTTGAGACCGAATTATAATAATGAATATATATTAAAAGAATGCAAAATAGATTAATAGATATTCTCAATAAATAGACATTCTTGCTAAAAAGTTTTAGCTTTCACTAAAAGACGAACGAATCTAAACTAAGTTTCGTCTCGTCGTTTCGAAACTCTTTGTAATTCGTTGCAGAGAGCGATGCCATGCATGTTTGAAAACATTTACAGTCTCCAATCAAGATTCGTGAAAGGAAGTTAAATCCCATGCTTCTCGGCAAGTGAAGCATGAGCTTTCAATTCACCGGCATCATAAATATTTTTCTAACGTTATTTCCATCAAATGACATATTTAAAAAAATTTCCATATCGCGTGAAAGGTTGTGGACGTTGGGCAAGGCTATTTCGTTTTGTTATTTTGCTTTTTACAACACTTCTCTTTAACTTCACTTCTTGTTTGTCTGTCTGTCTATCTGTCTGCTACAAATCTTATAATCGATATTTAACACACTTTTACATGTTCAATCGATCTGAAATTTGGCACACTTGCGTAAAGTTGGAGACAATGCATGAATCAGTTCACAGAATAAATAATTTTATATATTAAAATGTTTTTTTTTCATTGTTACAAAAAATTAAAAAATAATTTCGTCTGCTACACATCTTATAATCCATATATGACACAATTTGACCTTCCAATTGATCTGAAATTTTGCATAATTGCATAAAGTCAGAGACAATGCATGAATCAATTGACAGAATAAATAATATTGAAAATTTACAAAATTTTGATATCTTAAAAAATTTTTGAAAAATAATTTTTTTTCAATATTTGAAAATAAAATTAGAAATTCATTGTACATGTGTAACATCCAAGACACTGGATTATTCAGAAGTGTTGTCTTTGAAAAGTAATTTTTAAAAGCATATTATTTTAAATTCTAAGATATAATATATTTAAGTCTGCTATCGTTTGATCGTTTTCGCAAGCAGAAATTGCTTGTGTTCAGTTCAAGATTATAGTAATATGCCCGGTAATATGTTATTTATTATAGGGTATAATATATTTGTGTCTCCTATCGTTTGATCGCGTTAAGTAGAAGATATCGCTTGTGTTCAGTTCAATATTATAGAAATAAGCCCAGTAACCTTTTTTTAAATTATTAGGTATAATATATTTAAGTCTCCTATCGTTTGATCGTGTTCACAAGCAGAAATTGCTTGTGTTCAGTTCAAGACTATAGTAATATGCCCAGTAAATTTTAATTTATTCTAGGGTATATTATATTTAAGTCTCCTATCGTTTGATCGCGTTAACTAGAAAATATCGCTTGTGTTCAGTTTAAGATTATATTCATAAGCTCAGTAACATTTTTTATATTTTAATAATATATTTAGGTCTCCTAACGTTTGATCGTGTTGACAAGCAGAAATTGCTTGTGTTCAGTTGAAGACTATAGTAATATGCCCAGTAATTTTTTCATTTATTCTAGGGTATAATATATTTAAGTCTCCTATCGTTTGATCGCGTTAACTAGAAAATATCGCTTGTGTTCAGTTCAAGATTATAGTAATAAGCTCAGTAACTTTTTTATATTCTAAGGTATAATATATTAAAGTTTCCTATCGTTTGATCGTGTTCACAAGCAGAAACTGCTTGTGTTCAGTTGAAGACTATAGTAATATGCTCAGTAATTTTTCATTTATTCTAGGGTATTAATATTCAAGTTTCCTATCGTTTGATCGCGTTAACTAGAAGAAATCGTTTGTGTTCAGTTTAAGATTATAGTTATAAGCTCAGCAACTCACTTGTAAAACTTCTCTTTAACTTCACTTCTTGTTTGTTTGTCTGTCTGCTACAAATCTTATAATCGAAATTTAACACACTTCTACTTATCCTATCGATCTGAAATTTTGCACACTTGCGTAAAGTTAGAGACAATGCAAGAATCAAATGACAAAATAAATGATTTAAAAATAATTTGTTTTTTCGATATTAAAAATTTTAAAAAATAATTTTGTCAGCTACAAATAAAAACGTACTTGACACACTTTTACCTGTCCAATTGATCTGAAATTTTGCACACTTGTGTGAAATCGCAGGCAATGCATGAATCAATTGACAGAATAAATAATTTTGAAAAAAATTATAAATTAAAAAATTTGAAAAATTAATTTTTTCAATATTCGAAAATAAAATGAGAAATTCATTGTACATCTTTTACAGTGGAGACACTGGATTCTTTAGAAGTGTTGTCTTTAAAATGTAAATTTTAAACGTATATTATTATATTCATGGCATGTAGTTCCTGAGGTTTTTACGCGATGATGCATTTGCTGTAAGCCAAACAGATCCATAGCTGACGAAGTAAACAAGGTGAAATATACCGTAGCGTCGTCGTGAAGTGCGGTGTGTAGGACACTTCAGATTTTTGTAGTGCGCGTTATGCTTTTGGCCCTATTTAGCATGCCAACCGTAGTGTTCCATGCCGCACTATGGCTTGTTGTGCGTAGTGCTACTTCATAGTGCTAGTGCCCTATTTAGCATGCCAACCGTAGTGTTCCATGCCGCACTATGGCTTGTAGTGCGTAGTGCTACTTCGTAGTGCTAGTGCCCTTTTTAGCATACGGGCCATTGAATGTACGGTACCAGGAAGTAGATTGAGCTGTTAGGCTGCAGAGCTATCCGCTGTTGCGAGTCTGCAGTTCCTTTTACTTTTATGTAAAAAGTGGATTTGTTTACACCCCTTTTATCTTGATGTATTGTAACCCGATGATCCTGCTGTTTATTTATTCATGTTATTTTATTTATCTTGTAGGGCAGAGCGTAGTCACTCTTTTCTATAATTCTCCAAGTCTTGCATATACTTGACGGCTTCTCGCTACTTAAGTTAAATTTTGCCAGGGTCATTTTTAAATAAAACTAAATAATGCTCGTGTAGTGAATGAACTTTATACAAAATTCTGAGACTCCTCAGCAAGATCTGGAGGTAAAAATCCAGTTTATACAGGAATTAAAATAAAACTTCATTGAGAACACGAAGGTTCCTGTAACAATAGGTCATATACAAATAAATATCCAGGTCTCGCCTAATTATTCGGGACTAGAATAATAGAAAATTAATAAATAGAGCAAAATGTAAGAAACTGGTGTCCTACTCGACGTAACTAGCCATATGAAAATAATTAATAATTAATTAGTAATAATAATAGTAAATAATTAAAATGGAGCTATATTTAACCATGACGCTCCTAAGCGTCAAAATAAATAGATAAAAAAAAACTGATCAAAACTTAAACATTGCTAGGAACAGATGTACGCCTCATTCTAAAAGTTTCTCCTGGCACATCTAGTAACTCGGATACAAAAAGAACTAAAGTAACCAGGCTAGATATGGCAAATAAGCATAGGGGTAGGCCACACTGCCAATATTATTTCTTTTTCTAATAATGCATTCCATCTTTACTGCACGTCCAAGCATAATTTTCCTTCGTTTCCTATTATTGCAAACTATGTTGTCAACCAAATAAGACTGTTATGTTGTCTAGCGATGATTCATAGCCATGCAATAATACAAAATTGATTTGAATAAAGAGTTGTCCATAAAATGTTTACGTAATAAAACATTCATACCGCTGGCTGTAAAATAAAACCTAAAATATTGAAGACACTCACAATTTTGAAGAGCATAAGACAATTATGATGCATTTATGCTCGATACAAAAATTATATTTTGAACCTTCAATGATATAGAATCAAAAACCACCAAAAATTTGAACATGGATGCATGAACAAAATTACATGGCAACGGTAAAACTTATCTCAGCGAGCTACAGGAAACAAAAATTAAATCGAAATAAATAGCTATAGCGCAACGCGATGGAATGATGCGAAAAGAACACAGTGGGTGTTATCAAGATCCAACCGAACAATTCATGGTCTGAGAACATCTGTGTGACCAGTCACACAGGTTGCAGCCTCGTCAATATCTTCGTCTCAATCCCGGTCTTCGTCGTACACCTCGAGGAGCTCAACCATCTGCTGCGCCAGCTTCAGGTTAGCGGCACACAACACGCGTCGATTCATCAAATCGTAAGGACCGCCTGCCGAATGTTTGAACATGGATTAAAAATGTATCGGATAATGTTGGGCATGATAAATGCTTGAAATGAAGAGAAATATATTGAATTTTTTCATGATTATACGTTTCGACTTCGATCAGCAATATTCTCGAGCAATATTTCCGTTATCAATATCCAATGATATAGGCGAGAGATCTTTTCTAAAATATAAATGAAATAATTACGACCATTCAGTGGAAAAAGCAAAACCCACGCAAAACTTGAATAAATTTTGACCCAAAGTAACATAGAATCGTAGAAGCAAAGAAAAAAGTTAATGCACCAGTCATGTCCATGACGACACCGCCGGCCTCCCTGACTATGAGCGAGGCAGCCGCCGTGTCCCACGCATGGATGCCAATTTCGTAGTAGACTTCAGCCGCACCCTGCGCCACGTGACACATGTTCAGGGCAGCCGAGCCCATACAGCGAGGCCTGGACAACCAACCACAACAAATTAAAATTGTTGCACCTTGAATTATAAACGCACGAGAACGGATAATGTCTACAAAGCTCAGGTAAAAAATAAAAAACGTGTTTAAAAATTACTTTTTAAAGACAACACTTCTGAGCAATCCAGTGTCTTGGATGTTACACATGTACAATGAATTTCTAATTTAATTTTCAAATATTGAAAAATAAATTATTTTTCAAAATTTTTTTATGATCTCAAAATTTTGTAAATTTTCAAAATTATTTATTCTGTCAATTGATTCATGCATTATCTCTGACTTTATGCAATTGTGCAAAATTTCAGATCGATTAGACAGGTCAAATTGTGTCATATATGGATTATAACATTTGTAGCAGACGAAATTATTTTTTAAATTTTTTTTACTAATGAAAAAAAAAATTGTTATTTATAAAATTATTTATTCTGTCAATTGATTCATGCATTGTCTCCAACTTTACGCGAGTGTGCCAAATTTCAGATCGATTGGACAGGTAGACGTATGTTAAATATCGATTATAAGATTTGTAGCAGACAGACAGACAGACAGACAGACAGACAAACAAGAATTGAAGTTAAAGAGAAGTGTTGTAATGAGGATGAAGCCTATAACAATTTCATTTGTTAGTTATAATAAATATAAAACCTAGGAAGATAACATTTACGAGCTAATTCCCTCATGATCCTATCAACTCTGCCCACAAGGCAGCGAAGACAAGCCTCACCCGTGGCACTTCTTGATGACTTTCATGGCGTTGGCTGTGGCGACGGCCATCTTGGCGGGGTCAGGGCGGCACCAAAGCTCTGTCATTACCAGCGACTGCGACAAGTCTGAACATCAGTGGATTAAAGTCTATCAGGACTTTTTAGCACATAATCTCATTTATGGAAAAAATACACTATTGTGCTCGCCATGTCCGTCCATCTGTCCGTCTGTGACTTCACGTTTTAGTCGACAAGAAAATGCGCTCTCTGTCACTCACTGCAGTGAGTACTGAGTTACATTTTTATTGATGATATATCTGTATGACGAACGTAAGATCATTCTTAGAATCAATGCTATAAAAGACGGCCAGGGAAGCTAAGCCTACTCTGGTAAGACAAAATGTCTACGCAGCTTTCTTCAATAATTTCACGGCCATCTCACCGTCCTTGAGGGAGACGCTGAGCTTCTTGCCGTTGAGGAATGCACCGTGGTCTTTCCTGGCGGTGTAGGTGAGGTCCAGGATGGGGTTGTGCACCACAGCCACGCACGGCTGCTGCTCGCACCACACTGCCAGCGAGATGCACGTGTACGGGAAGCTGTGGACGAAGTTCATTGTGCCTGCACGAGAATAAACAGTTATGCTTCGAATTTGGATTAAAACAAATCTTAGGAAAGAATGCAATGCGAAAAAATGTTATTTAAACAATATTCGTCTTAACAAACAGGGGCGGTGCGTTAGTGTTAGAGTAAATAAAAATGCTGTCACTGTTTGAAGAGAAAAATGGTTAGTGTTTGAAGCTATAATTTATCGTCAGGGTTAGAGAACACAAATTCTCTGAATTTTGTAACTGCCATAACGGTCATTGCTATAGCTGTATACGCTCATAGCGATCAATCGTCCACAGAAAAAGCCTGAATGTTTAAAGCCTTCACATGATCCCCAAAATTATATTTTACCGGAGACATTAGACCGGCTATTAAATGTTCAGGAAATCCACCAACCATCCACAGGGTCGATGATCCATTGTATGCGTACATAGCTATCAATCCACAGGAAAAGCCTGAATGTTTAAAGCCTTCACATGATGCCCAGAATTAAATTTTAAAGGATACATAAGACCGGCCATTGAATGTTCAGGTAATATACCTACCATCGACGGGGTCGATGATCCAAGTAGGGGAGTCTGTGAGCTCGCACTTCGCTCCTGCAGCTGTCGATTCCTCGCCAATGAATCTGAATTAGAAAATTTGAGATGAAGAAAAAGGGATTCACAATTTAATGTAATCACGATTTCCGACGATAGCTTAAAGTTGTTTGTAGCTTTAGAACGAACAACGGTGTCTAACAATTAGGTACTTAATTCAGCTGAAAAAAAATCCTAAATTTCGTGCACGACTGAAGACAAAACTATGTTTCGTTTGATTAAAAGGAAGTAAAATCTAAAGAAAACGTACACGTCCACAGATTTATGCTAAATGATAACTCAATTCACTTCCATCTTTACTCCGCGTCCAAGCCTAATATCTCTTCGTTTCTTATTATTACAAACTATGTTGTCAACCCTATAAGGCTGTTATGTTGTCTAGCGATGATTCATAGCTATGCAATAACACAAAATTGACTCGAATAAAGTGTGGTCCATAAAATGTTCACGTAATAAAACATTCATACGGCTGGCTGCAAAATAAAACCTAAAATATTGAATACACTCAAAATTTCAAAGAGCATACGACAATTATGATGCATTTATGCTCGATACGAAAACGATATTTTGAACCTTCAATTATATAGAATCAAAAACAACCAGAATTTGAACATGGAAACACGAACAAAATTACATGGCAACGTTAAAACTTACCTCAGCGAGCTACAGGAGATAAACAAAATTCATGAAGCTCAGTGAGCTGAGGTTCAAATTTGGAAATTACGTAACTTGCGCCCAATACAAATGCAGTACTTGGTATTGGGAATTCCAGTTAGTAATTAAGGGATTGCTCTTTTTTGGCAATTGGAAATGTATTCCGGCTCTCTGCCCTTAATTAAATCAATAACATTAGTTCATAACATAGAATTAACCATATATAAAAATTTTATTGCCTAAATTAATACTTAGTACCGACTTGTGGTCTGGAAATGTCTTAGATATTTCACCGATGACGAGAGCCTCGACGGCCTTGTCCGTATCCGTGACCAGGTCTCGTGGGTTGTCTTTCATCTCGATCGTCTTGGTCTTCTCGAAGCCGTCTTTGATCACCTACGAAGAAATGACAGTCTAAGACAGGGGCAAGATAATAGTAGTGAGTTCAATCACAAAGGCTGAATATTTTGGAGTAGACAAAGTCGACGGCACAAGCTGAGCGAACAGAAACAGAAGTCTCCATACAAAGTTGCTTACAATGCACGTTTGCTGCCCGCAACAATGAACGGGTACATTCTTGTGCCTATTTGCCGCCATAGTTAGGTGCTACGAGCTTTGTTGCGTGTTATCAAGAACAATGTCTGTGCATTTTGAGTCGTCGAATATTTCGCCATTTGACGTGCACATTCTTATGCGCTGTTAACGGATGTGCAGTGCCATCATAGAACACGATTTCACGTATTATTTCATCTCTAAGAATGAAATTACCTTAGCACAAATGTAGGTAAGAGCGGCGCTGCGTCCATCAGACAACACAATTATGTTTTTTCTCCGTAAGGGGGAAATTTCTCGAACATCGATGAAGAATCACTTCGCAGAGTGATTAACAACATGTTTTGCATGAATATTCGTGACAGAGAGTGTTGGTTGCGAATAATACGTTTGAAAAATATATTAATTTACAGAAAATTCAAAGAATGCATGGATAAACCCTGAACAGTTTGATACTTAAATAGTAGGGACAGAATAAATAAATAATAAGGAATGTCCTCAAAAATAAGGACAGAATTAAGGAAGTATGGTACATTTCATTATGACCAAATATTAATTATCACCACTCACCAGCCCAGCCCTCTTGGCGATGTCGAGAGCGAAATCGAACCATTGTTGTTGCTCCTCTGCCGACATGACGTAATTTGAATTTATATAGTACTTTAGATATCAAGTTGGACAATTTTTTGGAAAATATACTTCGGCATTAATTGAAGAAATTTAGGCCGAATGGATGCAAAAGTGGATAAACTCTCGAGGCAGAAAAATGTTGTCGAATTATTATAATGAAATACAGCTCAAGAACCAGAAAGATCTTCATTTGAGGCCCATTTTAAGGAGGCGTCAGCCCCTTATTATGCTCCCTCCAGAATTTCATGTTTACTTCTTAATTTTTTTTTAATTTGTACAAATTCAAAATAATGCGGTCCTATTGAAAGTTTCAATAAATCATCAAACAACCAGTCATGACTGAATTAAATACAATTGTAAATCTTCGAGGGCTTAGCCCCCAGCCCCTTCCCCCACGTCGAAATTTTACGACTCGTTCCAGAAAATTTATTCCTAGTGCGAGAAAAGTAAAGCTCCCGAATATGAAAGGATTGGACCAAAAATGTAACTTTGATTTTTAAATTGAGATACATGAATTCTATTTTGAATGCGACAAATAGTTCTTTCCCGTACTTTTAAACGAGAATGAAATGGGAATTCCATGTAATATAAAATCTCGAACGCGCCTGTTACTTGATTAACGAACATCAAATTCATTCTTATCCCGGAAAATAGGATTCTACAATTGTAAGGATTATTGATCCTAGGCAACGCCGGACTAACCTGCTAGTGTACGAATGTAATCACGAAACGTCGAAACATCGCAAAATACCGCATGACGTTAAGGCCCGCTAAACGTTAAACGCCCGTTAGAGGCAAAATAAACGTTAAAGGCCCGCTAAACGTTAAATGCACCACGTTAAAGCCGCTAAACGTTAAACGCCCGTTAGAGGCAAAATAAACGTTAAAGGCACCACATTAAAGGCCCGCTAAACCGACAACTGTAGTGAGAGTCGCAGCGGTACCAGGGGGTGCGACCACGAGCCCCTCCAGAGCAACCACTCTGCCGCCGGGCCGTACAAGGAGTTCCAGACCACAAAAGCCCAGAACAATATGTATTAAGCAAGCTAATAGAAATGTAAAGTAACTTACTTTCCAAACTTAGGTTTTTTCCTATTCAAATTTAGGTTTTCCTCCTAATTGTTCATATTTCTTAATTTTTTTAAATCTCAAACATCGTTCATACATCATCAATAAATACGAAACCATTTTCTAAATTAAACCAAAAAACTTCATGGGAAAATGAAACCATAAAATTTTAAGAAAAAACTTTCATTTAATAAAAATACTGTAAGAAGATAATTAAAAGAAAAGAACCCGTTTGAACTCGTCGAAAAAATTACTCAGTTAAAAGATAGCGACGAGTTTTCATGGAAAAAACCGTAAATATCCCACAAACATATCAAACAAATAAAGTAATCATAGACTCTAAACAATCCCATGTTTGAAACCGCGACACAAAAAATACAGAAAATATCTAACAAAGACAATATGCAGAGCACATGCACGAATTCGAATAACGACACACAATATCTAGTACAAAAACATAGCGCAGCAATTCATTCAGCATGTGACGCCGGCAATACCATTAACGAAAACGTGACAACGTGCAGACAAGAGCTACCACTGCCAAAAGTCGTATGTCCGCTAAGCAGGAAGATACCAATTTAAGGTTCCTGCACCAATTCAATGGTTCAATCAAATGGTCATCTGACGAGACGTACGTAGCAGGAAGATACCAATCAATAAAAAGCCGAGAATAAATTCAATCATAACAGAACTGGCCTCAGTGCAGAATGCAAATAAAATTGTATGAATATTTTAGATTGCCTCGTCTATTAACTAGTAAGTTCATGAAATATGACAATCGTCTCTTACGACCTGCCTCAAGCAAGCAGTCGGCAGCAACCCGGAGAATTTTAATATTCCTATATTTTTAATCTCGTATTACATAGTTGCAAAATTTCATTAAACAATTTTGGTGATAAAATTCATTTCAGCACGATAAAAATAACAATTTACATTAGTAGTCAGAGAACATGAGCACAAATAGGAATCAGGGTGGCCCAGTGGTTACAGTTCAGAGTATCAAGATTGGCGCAGAGAGGCGCGGGTTCGATCCCAGCTCTGTGCGCCAGTTTCTGGTCAGAATCGGCGAGGAGGCCGGGCGGTTAAAAGCAGAATTGAAGCAGTGAGTTGTGGGTTCGAGACCGTAAAATACTGTGAATGTTCTGCGATGTCAAGAATCGGCGACAGGCCTACGGCCTAATAAACGCTGAAAATGCTATTATTATTATTATTATTATTATTATTATATTATTATTAAATAAGCCGACACTCCTTAGTTAGTTTACTGGCCCCATCAATACAGGGAAAGTTTTGCATTGCTTACGCGATACCCAGCAATTGAGAGATCAGCAGGTCACTATGACAGTTCAGAGACAAAAATACATAAAAGATAAGAGAAATACTTGGCATATGTATGCATATAAAAATATTTATTTAGGCAGTAATAATTATAATTATTAATGTCTAGATTATTACTTAATATTTTCTCTCGAGCATAAATCTGCAAAACAAAAGCTCCATTGTACATCAGGAATTTGTAAATGTCCTATGGAACAAAATTTAAGTAATGGAAAATATGAAAACAGTATAAAAAGCATATGAAATCTAGCGTAAATTTTTTTCAACTTTAACAGAAAGCGTGTATTATATTGAAGGCTTTGAATACTTTTGTAACTTTTGCAATGCTAGCTGCCTAATATTCAATTACAGACAATTTCTAACAATTATGCGGAATGCTTATTTTTAAATCATAATTATAGGTGCATAAGAGCCACGATTATTTTGTGGCGGGGATGGTGTTAATTAAACTTAGTTAACTAACTTAACTTAGTTAAACTTAACTTAGTTAAATTAACTTAAACTTAGTTTAATAGGTTTAATAGTTATGAGCGGGAAGTTTAAAAAGTGAATGAAGCTCTCAGAATGAATTCCTCGGAAATGTGAGCACATTAACAGTTTATTTCTTGAAACCTAGAAACTACTTGATATGTGTTAAAACCCCACTAATAATTTCACGATTCAGGCTAGAAGTCTGAAACAAAGCATCTTTACATAAAAAATATTCCCAAATGATGATCAGTTCAACCAGTTGAGCTGGTGTTTAATTTACAATTGCACTTAAATCTTTTGAAATATGGCCTGAATTAACTAACGAGTTGTTAGTAACAACACTTGCAGCGATACAGTCCAAAAGCGGCAAATTCAACCCGAGTGCACCAGAAGTAAGCTGCCAGGTGTCGCTATGCTTGCTTTTTGGTCAACCGTGAGCTTGCTGCACGATCACTGCGCTCTGCAACTCAACCGAATATATCCATACAACGACACAGAGCTCTCGCACTACAAAATTGTACGTAACTATAACATGTGCACTGCTCACGGGACAGCTAGGTATTCCGCCGCACATTAATGCACAGCTATCGCGTAGTACAATCGTGCGCAATGCGGTACAATCTTTCAGAGCACAATAAAACTGATGAGTACAACATAATTCATTGCGCAGTGCATCAGATTATCACAACAACTGTCACATTCATCAAACCGGCAACTGCACCATACACCAGACAAGTTTGTGCACCGTACACCAGACCAGTCGGTGCACCATGCACTAGGCCGGTCTGTGCACCATACACCAGACCGGCCTATGCACCATACACCCGACAATTCTGTGCACCATACACCAGACAGGTCTGTGCACCATACATCAGACCGGTCTGTGCACCATGGACCAGACCGGTCTGTGCACCAGATACCAGACCGGTCTGTGCACCATGCAGACCACGCACTAGTCGCGGTCTTCATCGTAGACCTCGAGCAGCTGGACCATCTGTTGCGCCAGCTGCGGAGACGCGGCGCACAGCACACGGCGGTTCATCAGGTCATGGGGGCCACCTGGGGCAACAGGAGTGTGTCATGGCGGCATATAAGACAATAAAAAAAATGTTAATATTAAACCTAATATATAATATAAAATTTATAATGTAATTTTATACATAAATAATTGTAATTCAAATGGGTGACGAATATACAGGATATGGTATGAAGATGTCCCATATTTTGATCAGGAAAAAGATGTTTTTAAAGAAATAATTAATATATAATTCAGGAAAATGCACAGCAACAATTTTCGTAAAATGGGCTTTAAAGGTCGTCTAAAAGTATGGCGGCCGCCTTTGTCAAAACATTGCAGACGACATAATCGGACGTTTCGATTATTCTATAAGTAATTCTCGGACAGAATGGCGTTCATTTCCTGGCTTATCCTTTTTTTCAAATCCTAAGAACAAAAAAATGACAAAGCATTTCTGATATGAACTTTTTAAGTATTTTTAAAGCAAGCAAGTTCTACAGTTGATTGCATTAAAAAAACATTCCGTGCTTGTTGAGGCGGTTACTTACAGGGCATGCACATGTCATATGATTAAAAAAACAACATGCTGGTCATCTGGATAGGGAGCGTTTATCTACAATGTTATTCAAATGTATACTAGTATTTGAAAATACATTTGACTAGGGGAAAACTCGATTTCTCGACACTAATTATTCAAATAGGATTGCATGCAATATTCTCATATCATTTTGGCATCACGAAATACTATTACCAAGGGCCTTAACAATTTGGAAATGCTCATAGTTTCAAGAAAAAAAAATACATAACCCACTTGGTCTGCATGATTTTAAAAAGCCAAATGCTGAAAATTACCTTTGCAAAAATTCACTCGCACCTAATGTCCAGTAGGTACAACTATTCAGCCCCACTAAGCATAAGATCTTTAATGAACAGCGTGATAAAGCTGGCATGAAAAATGAAGCGTTAGCAAAGCCATGGAGATGGAGAGTGGAAAAAGGATAGGTTAAAAGCAACAGGAACTAAGATAATACAACAATTGGTAGCATGCACAATAAATCGGCCACCCGAGAGATTGACACCACAGGGAGGAGCAAGAATGCCAGCCTACCGACCAAACTTAACAGAAACTGCGACTCGCATTCAGATACCATGCACAAACTCAATAGTAAATCGCTCAGTCAAGAGAATAGAACCCATCGGGTATCGGAAACTTTAAAACTCTAGGTAGTAAGAAAAACGGAATACGTTCAACAGTCCACTCTAATATTATCTGCATCAAGCATAAATCAAGTTCTAAGATTCAATCGACTTGGAGTTGCACTCCGAGAAGCTCCCCTTAACTTTGATATCAACGTATCATCCGTGGAGTTAATCGATCAATCATTCCTATCCGAGATCAAGCACTACCCTCATAAAGCCTCACACCCGTTATTACTACTAGAACTCACAAGCAACGTCTTTCCTCTTAGTATGAAGAAAACTTTAAAACCATATGTGACTACAGATACGAACTGCATGCATCGCTCACCCGTGATATCAAGAACCACTCCCCCGGCCTCTGTGATTAAGAGCACCGAGGCGGCCATGTCCCAGGCATGTAGCCCGTTCTCCCAGTAGACTTCGGCAGCGCCTTCAGCTACCAGGCACATGTCCAGCGCTGCCGAGCCCAGGGCGCGCGTCCTGTGAGGCACGAGTAGCCTCAGTGACATCGACTCACTTAACTTAGGGACTTAACTACTACAGGGGACTTGACTACTACACCCGTAACAGTGGGACTTAACTACTACACCTCAACTTAACTACTACAGGGGACTTAACAACTACACCTTAACTCAACTACTACAGGGGACTTGACTACTACACCAGCAGCAGATAGCGCGCTATTCTGAGGCAAATACTAGACTTGATAATGAAAATCACATCTACGGTGTATTTTAGTAGGCTAGGGACGATACGGCTGGGGATTTAAAATAGTCCAGAGAACTTAAAAATAATTATTGATTTGCCACAATAATTTATTATATATAATTTATATAAGCCACACAAAAGAGTAGAAAGCAGGAGAAACACTAATTGTACAGAGTTGAAGAGAAAGAAACCTTGAATCGTAAAATAACGTCTATACAACTTTGCAGTACAGGCGAAAGCCAAAAATTTTACCAAAGGAACTTGTTAAAACGGCTCAAGCAAACGAACATAAATAATTAGAAAGCTATACGCAATAAGGTATGCATTCTAATGTGATGGTGGTATCTAATAAGAAGGGATACATAATAATTGAGAGTCCATACGAACAACATGAACATCAACCAAAGACCATCAACCCAAACAAAATTTGAATGCGGCTCGACTGTGCACCATGTGCCACCTATGTTTCTAGTAGCACGTAATAGCCACTCTGACAATTATTATCTGATGATCGTGAGGTCGAGCAAACCGACAATAACTCTAAGGTCTAAGCCGGGTGTAGCGTCTCCTGGACAGACGCATAGGCGTTAACATATTTTGTTTAGGGAAGCGGTGCAACAGATCTTGTAAGTGGATTCAGAAAAGGCCAAGTTATAAGAAAAGAAAACAAGAAAAGTTATATACATGTAAACATGAAAGAAAGATGTATATACAGTTATAAAAAGTTAGGCAGAAAAGTTAAATAGATGTAGAAACTTACAAATAAAGATCAGTGAATTCTTTAAAAAAAAACAAGATTAACCTTGTCTTTAATTATGCGTTAACACCGTAGATTGTGTAACGTGTCGAGCATGTAGACGTAGTTTAATAGAAGTGATCAAAATTGCCGTAATTAGCGTGTGGTAAATACAATGACATTATTGCAGAGCTCGCGTGCATTTGATTTCCCCCATAGAAAATCACGGAATCATCCAGTGAATAAAGAGTGAATAAGCAATGAAAGAAATGCGAAATATGTGTGAATCAAATGAAATTTCTCAAGAATCATTGAGAAATCGTTTATTACAAACAAGCAATGACTATAAAATGCCAACAGTGAAGCAAAATGAAATATCGGCGTTTGTTGAATTATAGATTTTTAGAAATACTGGAATTAAAAACTGGTATTTCTATTTGTCTAGTTTAGTTTTAATCAATTCATTGAATAAGTTTTTTATTGCACGTTTGGCTTTCGACCTTAGCTAAATGATAATTTTAGTTGATCCTTTTGGAAATTTCGATGAAGATTTTAGAGGCAAGCATTATCAATTGTACGATATTCCTTATTGCATTTGCAAATTTGAATCCAGTAGAGAAAAGTTAAAATATTGGTTCTCACTGCTTTTTTGCATCATTTATTTGCAAATTTTTCAGTACAATAAAGTTGATAAGTCATCCACGGCACCAATTTCTTTGTAAATATTTAACGTTGAATTAATATGTCTAAAACATATTTTCCATTGTTATTGTAAGTTTAAAAAATCACTGTCTCGAATATTTTATTTTCCCTCTGATTCAGTTCAAGTTTTCTTCCTCGAACGTAAACGTAAGTGCGCTGAATAATAATACTGTAACTCAAATTCTGATTTTCATCATTCTATAGGTAAACCCAATCTTCAGACGAGAAAAATTACGATTTGGAAGCTCGATTCTCATACTACTCAGTTTCATCAGCACTCTTCTGGGGCGTTCACAAATAATTCTTTTATCCTATTGCCACCAAATAATCTCAAGAAGCCACAGCAGACAACCAGCAGCACAAACCTGCGTTATCGAGGACAACACCACCAGCCTCCTGCACGATGAGCACTGCGGCTGCCTTGTCCCAGGCAAACAAACCCAAACTGACGCTGCCTTCAGCTGCGCCCTCGGCCACCATGCACATGTGCAGCGCAGCTGACCCCAGCGACCGCACACTGCACACAACGCGCCCCAACACATCTAAAGTAGGGTTCCCCGCAAGCGAATATTGAGAACGACAAAATTATCATGCTGCGAAATGGGACGCCTGTCGGAGACCACCACTACCATGCATTGAATGGACTATAATGATCCCTTCCCTCAAGAAAGTAGCCAATAAGGCTATAACACTTTTTAACTGTAACATTATCAGCCGCAAGCCACCAGACTGATCTCTTCCATTGAATTAGATCAATCAGCTCACAGGAAAGTAGCCTGATGTAGAATGTCCCAGCATCGTCTGCCAATATGCGAAAAAAATTTACATCACATTGACGGAGCGCGCCGGAGCCGTCCATATCTGTCCCGTGAATCAGCCTATGGTCGAATGGCCACGCGTCCTAGGACGATAAATTTTGGAACAGAACTATGCTAGCTGAAACCTAACCCAGATGCTGTGAGCTAGAAGTTACGTGATTTAACAAAGCTGCGGAAGTCACTCGTCAATGGACGATAGATTTTGGAACAGAACTATGCTTTCTGCAACCTAACCACTGATGTTGTGAGCTGAGACCGTCTGGTAGTGCACGGCAGGATGCATACAGTCCGTTGTCCGCAAGTTACAGTTCGAGCTAAAGTCAGGGTATGAAGTGATGATTCGATGCAATGTACCAATGTTCAGTGGGGGACAACCATTTCTCTATGGGTTATTCGCTTCAGAATATGGTGACTTAAAGCTCCTAATATTCAAAGCAAGATGGGCAGGGTGGGCACCACTGGGCAGGGTGACCCAGTGGTTACAGTTCAGAGTACCAAGATTGGCACAAAGAGGCGCGGGTTCGATCCCAGCTCTGTGCGCCAGTTTCTGGTCAGAATCGGCGAGGAGGCCGGGCGGTTAAGCACAGCAGAATTGAATCAGTGAGTTGTGAGTTCGAGACCGCAAAATGCTGTGGATGTTCTGCGATGTTAAGAATCGGCGACAGGCCTATGGCCTACTAAACGCTGAAACCGCTATTATTATTATTATTATTATTATTAAGATGATGTCACGGGCTGGTTACCGACGGATGGCTTAATCCGTGGCCGATTGGTGGTCATCCGGAAATATTCAAGGCTGATTGGTGCACAAATATGGTGGTGCACGGCTTCGTACCCTACGAAATGATGCAAATGAACACCAGGAGATGAATACTTGAAACACTTTTCAAAAAACTGAAAGAAAATATGTTACACTTTAACATCAGTCATAGGATATATAAAATAATAGCTGAAATAGAAATGAAACTAACATTGAGCCATTGTTCAAATGTTTTGAATTAGGATATCTTAATACAATAAAGAGTGTTAAAAAGAGACAATTTATCATTCAGAAAAAAAAGAAACATGGAACAAGAGATAAAAATTCAATAAGGAGAAAAACGCATGTAACCATTTAATAGAAAAAAAGTATTTTATCATTAATTGATTTGGTGACAAAATTCAAACTTGATTAGCCAAGGAACAAACTTTTGTCTTGATGAGCACATAAATCATTAGAAGTACCTACATCTTCAATAAAACTATAAATTAGAGGATGAATCATTTCGTTCTCGATCCATTGTTGCAGTTATTTGTTGCTACTAAAGAATAATACAAAATTCACCCATAAACAGAGAGATTCAAAATAAACAGATTGAAGATTGTACCTGAAAAGCTCGTTCTGAACAAAATTTGGCATGCAACTTACCTCAATGTCAACCAATTTAGATATCAAGTGATATTACGATCAAACATAACAAGATATAAATAACAAGTTGATCGAATAAAAAGACTACCATTAAATAAATTTGGATACTATACCGACAAGGGGAAGTAATAGTAAGTAATTAATATGTAAAGCCCACATAATGCTCAACACCCATGACTATTACTAAGAGATTTAAAGGACACTGCATATGGAAATTTAAAAGTAGTAGGAAGTTTCCACCATCCAAGTGACTATGGTACTGATTAGGATAGAAATGCTCAAAATTGGGAATATATGTAGAACCGTTGACGATTGGATAAGCCGACGGTTGAAAACGAGCGGGAATACGACTCTCCGCGCGTGTAGCGTTCGGGACTATAAAAGCAGTGAGGTAGGAGAAAAAGGAGCTCAGAGCGTGGCGGACAGCGCTGCGTACGGACGTGTGTCAATAATCTGTGAAGGAGTCTCGTGTTGGAGGCTGGGACAATCGTTCAACGACTAGTCGTGCTGGAACCCGGAGTTATTTTGAAGCCGATACTACCCGACCTGCGAAGATTCTGCTGTCCAAATCCTGATTTACCGGCAATCGTTCAACGACGAGAAACCGATGTCCACCGAGATAGAATGTTATTCCGGAATACGACATCTACAGAAATAACCAGTATCTACACCCCAAAAATCACGTACACCCGGGAACGCGGACTGAAGACTTCCGAATTATAATCTTCGCCGTCACTTAGCCTGGGGAAACTCGCCACCGCTGCGTATTGGCCTCACGTCTTCAAATTTCGGTGATGTACTCCGGGAAACTGTTAGAAACTATCTTATAAAAACTGGGTGAATAGGTCGGGATAGGATTTTATGTGTACTCTGTATGAGCTACCTATTTTGGTGACAGTATAGGACTATATTTCGTGTAATCGTGCTCTGCCGACTGTCTCATTTGTATTAGACTAGATTTTTCCTATAATATAGTAACTATGGAATTTATCCCCATGTGTTGTCATTGTTTTCCTTTGCTAACTAGTTCGCTGTTCTGACTTTTGAGAACCGTAAATCATCGCGCCGTTTACCGCCACTCTGGCATAAAGTCAACCTGGTCAATTCCAAATATTTATCAGAAGGTAGAAAGTCGATGAGTTAACTCAATAAATTTACGACGGAAAATGGTATTTCAGATTTAAATTCGTGGCCAAGTAGAAATTATTAACGATCTCGAAAAGAGATAAATAATAGTGAGAATTAGGAAGTCTTAGACTTTATAACAGACCTACAAACCAAAGTTTTATTCAGTACTATATAGGAGGTAGGTATATAACCAAAGATGCACCATGAATAAACTTACCCATGGCAACGTTCAATGAGCTTCTTGGCATTCCTATGCACAACTTCCATCTTCTTCTCATCTGGACGGTAGCCCATCTCCATCACCACCAGAGACCGAGATAAATCTTGTAAAATAAAAATTTATGGTTTCAATTTACTGCTTTTTTCATTGCAATTGGATGACTTTAACAATTTGCCTTGCTTCTACTCCAAGGTGATCAAAGAGAAATATTTACAATACAACTGTAGTCCCATTTTTACTTGTGATTTGTAAAAATAAATGCAAACATTGTATGCATTATCTTTAGAGTTTCTCACCTTCTTTGCCAGAAACTCGAATTCTTTCTCCATTGAGAAAGGCTCCAGCATTTTTCCTAGCAGTGTAGAGCTGCTGAAGAACTGGATTATACACCACACCAAGACACGGCTTCTTGTCGACCCACAGTGCAATCGAAATGCAGGTGTAGGGGAAGCTGTGGACGAAGTTCAAGGTCCCGTCCACTGGATCGATGATCCATGTTGGATCGTTTGTCAGCTCACATTTAATTCCAGCAGCTGTGGATTCTTCTCCTATGAATCTAGAGAAGCGACATGTTTCAAGTGATAGCTTGAATATATATGTTTTACAGTGAATACATACAGAATAGAAAAACTGAAGAATAATAGTTTGTTCTTCCTTAATAATAACAATTGCAAGAAGTATAGGAAAAGTGTACACAAACAATTTTTTTGTTAGTGGGAGCAACAAATTAATCAGACAAACCTGCTCCAAACATGAATAGATCCAATTGAATGAAATTTGGCACTTACTTGTGATTGGGGTAAAGTTCTTGTAGCTTAGAGATGACTTGATCTTCAATGAGCTTGTCAGTCTCAGTCACCAAGTCCCTTGGAGATGTTTTCTCCTCTACTTTCTTAGCTTTCTTGAAGGCTTCTGAGATAATCTGCAAAAATCAAAATAAATTACCTATAAAATATAACTGAAGCATAAGACTGAGAACTGAAGATTTGATAATGAGAGGAATTCTAATTGAATCATTGGTCATGATTCACTTGGTGAGTGAAGAACTCAAGACATATTGACCACTTATGGTAGCCTGAGCACTGGAAGTCATTTCTCAATACATTTATTTGAATCCAAGTTCAAATAACAAATATTTAGCCAGCTGAAGCACAAGCTGGACATCAATCCTAAAGCAAATTGGATCACATTCATAATTAAAAGAAAAGTAGAAGAACAGTACAGCAGCAGGGATCCAACTATGTATGGGCATAAATCCACTACAAGTATTGCAGTGTGGTGAGAAGCTACGATTTTGTCATCATAGAGCTGCCAAAAGCTGGCAGCAGCACTATCTCTGCAGTCATCATCATGGAACTATGGATGTCAATGATTGACTATGCTCATTGCTGCCTGGTGGCATGGTAAAAATACCATGTTGCCTGTACAGTACCATATGTATATGTATATACAATATCATCACACAGTGGCACAGATGCTGCTGCTGACAGGACAAAGGCATGTATGTATGTAATATGTATACATGCATAGTCATGAGATGAGAGAATATGATTAAGTCAGTGCATAGCAGTAAGCCATGCATCCAAGTTTAAACCCTTTTTAGTTATGGGCATGACATATTTCAGTACACCACACAGATTAGAGAAATAACAACATAAATTCATACACAACTGGCACATATTCCTGACTTTGGTCCCCTGTATCCATTGTCTGGAAATTTCATAGCAAAAATAAAAAAAAATGGGCCAAAGATACACACGAATGAGCCTAAATTGCCTATGCTTGTGATTAATTTTATTCATTTCTATGGCCTTTGATGAATTTCTTTCATGAAAATAATTAATAATAACACATTTTTGCCTCCTGTTTTTGGAAATCATAGGCGAATCCATTTTTTCACCTATGATTTCTTATTCTGCTCCATTTTACAGATTGATTTGACATCTCACAGGGCTTGGTGCTTGGACCAACCTTGTTTCTGATATATGTACATACTTCAATGACATTGGAGAAGGAATCAGCACCAGAGTCAGACTTTTTGCCAATGACAAATTCCTAAATGCCCACATCAGATCCCAGCTTGATGCACACCATCTTCAAGACAACCTGGATAGGCTGGAAGGGTTGGAGTGGAATTGACAGATGGCCTTGATTAATGCCACCTGCTGTGACTGACCTGCTGTCAGTCACCAAGTAGAGGGAGGACTGAGGAGTGCCCACTTTTTATTTTTTATAACTGGGCAGGTACTGAAGCAAGTTCCCAGTGCCAAGTATTATGGCATTGATGCATCAGAAACCTTGCATAGGGGGAAATACATTGAGGCAACTGAAGCCAAAGCCAATCAATCATGTGCCAAAATCTGAGGGATGCCAACTCAAATCCAAGCTCAGTGCTATAAAGGTCTAGCCAGTGTGGGACTTTGCATCACTGGTCTAGAATCCACATCAGCAGAACCTGAAGACCACCCTTAAGATGGTACAATGCAGGGCAGCCTGCAGGTTCCTAGGTTTCTTGAGCCTCACATCCAGTACCACATAGATGGCAGCCAGACTGGAATTCAACCAGTTCCACCTGAGGAGAATGGCAGACAAGGCATGCATGCTGTCCAGGCTACAGAATGCTGCATTGCCTGGTTATGGTCACGATTGAGAACTGCAAGCCCTAAGGCAGGCTTGGCTGGATACCTATTAGAATCTATTACTACCGTCAACCGGGGCTACTCGGGACAGATTTGATCGTTTTTTTTTGTTGATAACTGTTAATAACTTCTTACGATTAAACATTTCATAAACAAATTTAGGCTCATTTTATAGCTCTTTGCGAGGGCTATCGAATGGCATTGTCAAAAAAATTCCATATGCTATTCGTAAGGTGCCAGACGCAAAATAAAGATTGTCCCGAGTAGCCCCGTTGGTCGGGGCTACTCGGGACAATGGGAATAAAACTTCATTTCAAAACATTTGAAGCATGCAGAGCGTACTCATCCATTACTAACAGTACTCTGAAGTCCTCCTCTTTCATTGTAGATGATGTAGAGGTAGAATAAATGACATTTTCTGTGATTTTTACTTGTTTTTCCTTTATTGATATGATATTGCCATATACATTAATTACCGTGTTATTGATGTGCAATTATCATATTATTGATGCAATATTACCGTATCCATGAACATGCCGTTGAGCATTTACAACAACCTTGGCCACTGCAAGCTTCATATCAGCAGCCTTATAGCATTTTCATATCTGTAAGCTTACAGGACGGCTCGTAATTTCACATCATTTCAATTGGGTTAAGTGAATTCACTATGGTAAAAAAGATCGTGAAAAACATACCTGAAACAGAAAGGAATGTTTCAGTGACAACCAACGTATCTTTTGGAGAAATAAATCATAGTTTAGGTCAATTATTTTTCATTCTATGATGCCTGGTGCACAATTCTATGCATGACATGCTATGCACAATTTTGTGATGACCAATGTTGCACTAATTTTTTGATAAGTGAACTTTTTTGCTAAGCAAGGAAAATGTGATCAATATTCTTTGTTTTTTATCAACTTTTTTTCGTAATTGGAGCCTTTGCTAACTGAGGTTCTACCGTAAATGCGTTTTTGGGGTGTCCCGAATAGGCCCGGGGGGATGTCCCAAGTAGCCCCGCTGTGTGGAAATGGCTGCCATTTCTTTTTGGAATGAGATAGGCAAATTCTGTCAATTACGTTTTCAAGCGGACACCTGGGTGCAACTTTTACGTCAGTAAAAATTTTTAATACAGCGAATATTTTTTTTGCTACATACCTTAGCAGTTGTAACTTTACAAAATATAGTTTTTCACCATTTTTTTCAGGAATTTTTCAAAGCAAGTAAATGTAGTATTTTTCGACTTCCTTTATACTACATAGATAGGAAAAATGTTGACGTTTACGCCACTATTTTTAGTTTTGCAATATTCCAATTAGTTTCGCTACTACAACAGTTTTATGCCGTGTCGGAGGCCTGTCCCGAGTAGCCCCGCTTGTCCCGAGTAGCCCCGGTTGATGGTACATATATGTAGTCGTTATAACTTCGCTCGTAAATGAACTATCAATCTAAATTTTTCATGCTTATTCAGCTATTTATTTACAATTTCCCAACAGTTACAAAATATATGTAAGTTTTGTATAACATCAGTTATGATAGAGTAAAATGTTGCTCATCAATGTTCATTACAGGGTTGGCAATGATTAAATCAAAATGATTAAATCATGTGATTAAATCACTTGATTTTTTTATAAAAAAATCATGATTTTTTTTATTTTTTCGATTTATTTGATTTTTTTGATTTTTTCATATATTTAAATATATTGAGTGGCAGTCTTTAATTTATATTGAGGTATTGTTATTCATGGTTTAGTATAAATGTCCTATGAATGACAGATTGGCATATAAACTTGTTGCCTTTAGTGTGTATTAGGTTCCAATAAATTGAATGTTTTTGGTACAGAGGCATCAAGTGTGCAATACATTGTACATAGCTAGCAGCTTAGCTAATTCTTATAAGGCTATAAGTAGTCTTCAACTATTTGACTATTTGTTATATATTGATTACAATATACAATTTAAATGTGTTAGCTAGCTTATACAAGGTGGGGCAGAACTGATTGAACAGTTTTGAGATGAAATAAAAGAGTAATGGAGGTACATAAAGAAGAAAGTTTATTTTCCTCAAGATTACCATAACATACCATTTAAAATACTTATGTTTTGAAAAAAATATCAGGAAGATGGGGTTTGTTAGCTGCATCACACTGTTGGAGTCATGCTCGGAAGTTTTCTACAGCACGTTCACACTTATGGCGAGGTATGGCCATAACCTCTGCTACAATAATCCGTTCCCTTAGCTGTGGTATATAGGGTGTGAAGGCGACTTATGAACCCCTTTCTTTTAGATGTCCCCAAAGAAAGAAATCGCAAATGCTCAAATCAGGTAACCTCGCAGGCCACTGTAAATTACCCCTCAGAGTTTGGGAACATGTGTTTCAAAATATTGAGTGACATTCGAGCTGTGTGAGCTGTAGCCCCATCCTGCTGGAACCACATGTCTCCCAATGCTTCATTTTCAACAATGTTTTCCATCATGGGCTGCAAGAAATTTTGCAACATTGCAGCATAGCGATCGGAATTCACTGTCACGGTTACTCGCTCCTCTGAGAATGACTCCAACAGTGTGTTGCAGCTAACGGCCACCATCTTCCAGATATTGTTTTCAAAACATAAGTATTCTAAATGGTATGTTATGCTAACCTCTAGGAAAATAAACTTTCTTCTTTATGTACCTCCATTACTCTTTTATTTTACCTCAAAACTGCTCAATCGGTTCCGCCCCACCCTGTATATTGAGAGGTTGAGATTGTATTGACATTTTAGGCAATTAGAAAGATTTTCCACCCTAATACGAGTATGCTAATTAAAATATTTAATTTCAATCTTCAAATAAGTGAATTTAATACTAGGAACAAGACAATTACAATTATAAGAGTATACTATATAAAATAATTATATGCAGTGAATGGATAAAAAATATTTGAATTGTGCTCATATTTATTTCGAACAGTGTTAGATTTTCTCATAACTTAAGCCTCGTTTCAAGTCGTTTGAGGTTTGTTTGGTTATCGTTCAGTTTATGTTTAGTATTGGTTTATTGGTCCTAATTAAATGGGAACAGTGCAGTCAGTCACTCAGTCACTACTAGTCGGTGTGTACAGAGGGTAGAGTCTGGTAGATTTATAGGACATAAAACTAGTAGATCTATTGATAGTGTTGTGCACTGTGCTATCAGCTACCTATCTGTTACTGTTATGTGACTCTTCAATGTTTAGAAGATCTGCATTCCTGAAGTGTTTTTGTATACTGAAGCCAGTTAAATGGTCAATATTTAGCTCATTACCTTGCTCCATACAAACTTTACAAAGCTAATGAATAGACTAATCAATAATTGTTTACCTGAAAATCCCTAAGTGGTTAACACCACCTTGGCCTGTTGGCCATTATTGAAGGCAATAAGTGCCCTTTTTAGCCATCCATTATGATCCATATACTGTTATTGTTAGTAGGCTAATTGCAACATAAAAAAATAACACTTCAAAAAGACAAAAAAGTTGAAAAAATCAAAAAAATCAAATAAATCAAAAAAATCATGAAAAAATAAAAAAAAATCATTGATTTTTTATTTTTTTGATTTTTTTAAAAAAATCAAAAAAATCGCCAACCCTGGTTCATTATAACTGCGAGTGATGCGACTGACCAAATTTTAGAGACATGAGGAAGTAGTACTATTCATTCTCTATTGATTGGTAGGTAGGTATTATAGTCATTTTTGAATCACCCTCTAATTTGTGGAAATATTTGAACAAATACTTTTTCATCACTCCTGAATCATAGATTTCCAATTTTCTTTGAGCTGGCCCTGAGCATGTTAAAATTGTTGTACCGTTAGCCATACCTTTCTCGACGATCATAAATCAGCTTGCGTGAAGTGGCATAGTTCTCCTCTACCCTCTCCCTTGGGGGAAGAGGGACAGCCACCTTACCCTCCTGGCTTGTTGGTGTTAAAAGGCAAGAATGTTTAGATTACAACCTTCCATTGTTTGTGTGTAAGAACACTGACAGCAAAATGCATTTCTCTCAAGAAATAAAAAAAACTGTGCCTTTCATCACCACAAATCAATAAAGGTCTCCAGTTGAAAAGATGGAGGTAAGATTTATTACAGTCATTACTTATGTATCATAGATATAACAAGATATGAAGCTCATCAGTAAGAGGTCTCTAAAATAGAAGTTCAAAATTCCTTTATTTATTATAGTAAATTTTAATAATGTCAATGGTGAAAGCCAATGATTGCAATGAAGTACAGGGTCATCAATATTTAGCATTACAATGTAGCAGTTTTGACTATTGTTATGCGGGTGTGATGAACTCGTCATCAGCTTGTATTTGTCTATTGCAGCTACTTAGTTTATGGGGAATTAAAGTTGGTGTTTTCTGAGTTTTAATAAACAGAGTTAAAACAATGATACATAATTTATTACATGGGATCAGCGGCTTATGAGAGAAGTCAAGGATTGTGCCAGAACAAGTAGTTAAGAACTTGCGAATTGGGGGAAAAAGAAGTAGTAAAGAATTAAGGAATAAAGAGGAACATGGAATAGTGAAGAATTAGCAAATAAAGAGGAACATGGGATAGTGAAGAATTAGCAAATAAAGAGGAACATGGAATAGTGAAGAATTAGCAAATAAAGAGGAACATGGACAGGTGATGATGCCTATACCATGGAGCAGATACATTCAATGAGCACTTTGATCAGACTATTGCACTTGCTGGTTGAATTCTGTTTATACTGTAATTCTGTAATACTGTAAAGAAAATAAGAAAAGAACAATATTAACTAACACAAAGTAAAATGAATGCTCTACCTGTCCACTCAATATATTATTAAAAATGAGAATAAAGATCATGAACGCAGGAAGGTTGTGCTATAAAAATAGTATTTACAACCCCCAGTAACAACAACTTTGAGTGGTTAGAACTATGAAATTAAACACAATTGTGAATGTTTGAAAATGTATTTATGTAGGCAGAGATTCAGAGATACAATTCCCACAATTTCATTCAATATGTCTACCATCTGCATCAATAACGAGTTGTAGATGCTTAGAGAAAGCCTTACACAAGTCACGAATGACACTCTGCAGGATTTTGGCCCACTCCTTCAGCAGTTTGACCTTTAGGGCGTCCAAACTGCAATGGTAAACGTCAAACAGTCCCTTGCTCTCAAGGTATGACCAGATCCCAAAATCCAGAGGATTCAGATTGGGTCTAGATGGGGGCCATTCATCTTTGGTAATGAAGTGGGGAACATTCTCGGACAGCCACTCCTGAATCGATTTGGCCTCATGGCCCATGGGATGGTGCAGAGTCCTGCTGGTACGACCAGGGATGTTTTTTGAAGTGCTTTCATGCCCAGGGCAACAATGCACCAACAAGGATGGCATCTTGATAGTTCTTCTGATTCCATGGTCAGGAAGATGTGCCAGGTGCGCGGGAATTTATTTTGTCATTTTAACAACCTGCGCGGTGCGCCGTACTACGTTGGTAAAAAAATGCGCAGACAATATACACGAGTATATTGACTACACGAGTCGAACTGACAATAATAAAATGTAAGACATATCCGGGTTACTTCTGACTCTTCCGGTTGTCCGCCTCGTTGGCTACAGAACGTACGGTAATCGTTAACTGTGGCTGTTATACATACGAAATGTAAACAGATGGTGTTCAGTGTTGCCATATGACTTTGGAGAAAATTTCTTCTAAAATAAAATAAAGATGGCTGGGATTGCGCGAACACGTGCGCAAAGATAATCAATTTTCATTACATTGCGCGAACTGTGCGCAGCAATAGCTTAAAAAAAGTGAAAATGCGCGGGAATATTCACCGAAAACATACATCATCCTGAGTGTGGTTCTGATTCAATTTCACCCCTTTGTCACCAAAAAAGAGGGGACTCCTTGAGGACTCTGTTACAGCTGCCCAGACCATCACTGAGGTCGGGCATTGCTTCCTAGTCACCACACATGATCCTTTGTCCCTATTCTTTGACCAAATTTGATCATTTTGGGAAATGAAGTGGTGTTCAACATTGAATATCTTCTCATCACTGAAAATGAGGTTTGGCAGCATGCCATAAATCATGAATGCGGGAAAGAAGAATCTTGAATCTTTGGAGGCATTTGTCAACAACTTGAGCAGACAGTTGGTGTTTTTTGACACCATAAAGATGATAAATGATAAATAATGATAACGATTAATGAGAAGGTATAAAAAAATAACAAATATTGAGGACAATTATCAACAATTGATTTGTAAAAAAATGTAACGTTAAATATTGCTGACCACTCATTAGTATCAATGTATCATAGTATGCAGGGCAAAATTCCCAAAAAACATGCATCATCCTGAGTGTGGTGATTGTGCACTTTTCCAGCAATGGATTGGTGCAAGTCTGCAAGATGAATTAGCTATCTCCTATACAATTATTTACAAAAAATTTAAACGACAAGATATTTCAAACATTTAGGGTTAATTTGGAGCTGCTAAATTGCATTAGCTAATAAGCATAGTGGCAAACCAGTGATTGTTTAGGATCAGTTCATTTTTAATTTCCTCATTTACTCAATATTTTAACAGATTTCTCATGTATGATAATTCTGGTATCCAAGATACTTTACTGATCTACTTATAGGACTCAAAAATGAACTTGAGGGAGAGTCTAAAAAACTCTCTGCTTTGCCACTATGCTTTACTTGTCTACTTATAGGACTCAAAAATGAACTTGAGGGAGAGTCTAAAAAACTCTCTGCTTTGCCACTATGCTAATAAGTAGGTAGTAAGTAAGAACTAAGAAGTTTATAGCCTAATAATATGGTTTAAAAATTTTAGATGACTCATGCCTCATTACATACAGGCTACAGCAACCAGCACTCGCCACTCTTGAGTTCAGCAGTTAGGTATATTAGAATTTCTTAAACATTTAAACTTACCAAGCCAGCTTCTTTTGCCAAGTCCAGAGCAGTTTGGAAGCAGTCATCAAGATCAAGAGAATTCATCTTTTCATATAGAATAGGTAATTTAATAGAGAAGAACTTAAAATTTAGATCAAATATTTTGTGTTAGACTTTTTTGAGTCAGAGATAAGCATCAAGCAACATGGCAAATTGTCAATGATGTCATCATGTCATGGAATAACGATATAAAAAAAAAATTAAACAGAGGTCTATTACAAAACCTAGAGTCCTAGACTTCTACCGAGATAGGCCTAACCGAGGTCCGAGTGAGAGTTCTACGTTCAATTTTTATCCATCAATCAGTTTACTAATGCAATTCTTCACAGAGGCAGTCGGCATGAAAATAATATGTGGTAACGAGGTAAGTATTATGTAAGGCTTATACGGGCATAACCTACATAAAAAGTTATGTTTATTCGTTTTTTGAGGATAAATAAAAAATTCGTTTTTTTTTTATTCCGGTAGTTGTTGACATCCTATACTATTCATCCGCAACCGAAGAATGAACATATTTTTGAATAGAATTTAATTTATATTCGAGCAAATAAATAATTACGTTACTGCAAATATTTGCGATCAAAATGCTATTATGATGAATATTTTAGAAAAATGAAAGATGATCAAAGAAAAGTGGAAATATCGAAAGAATATGTGATACCATCAATCATTCATCATTATTAGGAATTGTTACTTGAGAAAGGAAATTTAGTTTATTATCTAAAAAATTGAAAACTATATATTGCAGTTTCAGGGCATATGTCTGTCTCTTCACTGCATCCAACAGGTATTTTTATGGGGCAGGGCGACCCTGAGGATACAGTTTTTGATAATACAGAAACCCAGAGCAACAAAATTGGAGTAGGTAGTTCATAATTGTGCTATCGATCACGACTTTCTGTAACGGTCCTGAAATCATATTCTCAAAACTCGCATAAGTATAATTATTAACCAAAGGACACTTACCGAGCGATTCTTCGAAGGTAATGTGTGGTTTCAGCTTGATAAGCCGTCTGTGATTGAATGACGGAATTACGAACGCGTAGCTATTATTTGTAGTGCGACTTCAGGTCAATTGGATTAATTAGGATTAAGTAAACAAGGTTGACGCAGTTAGTTATGGGTTCGATACCCGCAGCAACCTGCGGAAATTCTGCGATGTTCAGAATCATAGATAGGTCTATCAGATTTAAACTTCAATTTCATATGAAATGACACAGGTTTCTCTCAGAGCCCTCTCAGCTCGGTTCTTCCACTCCTATGTAATTATTGTATAAACGTGGTCGGTTAATGACCAGAGAATTCATTGATTTAACTTTCAAGATCGAAAAATATCCTTCAGATGACGTTGGTTGTTCAAAATGCAATTTCAATGAAGTAATTTAATTTATTAACGACATTTCGAATGTGAAAACATTCATTTTCAAGTCTTCTAACGCTCATTTCATATAATCTTCTGACAGCATTTATGTTTAGTTACTAGACTATACAACAATTAGTATAAGATAGCAGAATATATATAATATTAGTATAAGATAGCTTCAATGGAAGCACTGAATACTGAAATTTAGGCGGAAATGAGTACATAATACACGTAAGTACGATACAACACGAAAATTTAGAACCAGAAAAATAATTCCAAAACAATCTCAAGGTTAAGAAAATCTGGTAGTTACGAGATGGATAGCTGGAGTCCAATCCGTAGAGATGAAATCGAGTCCAATCCGTCCAATCAGACCAATTCAAGATGACGATGCTGCATGGTGGGCTCCTCCAGCACAGTGCGAGTTGTTGTCAAGGGTGTCATGGAGCCTGTTAAATTCATCACGGATCTTGAGATGCAGTTGCTCGATTGAAATACTTTGAGACCTTGTCTGGTTGGGAGCTTGTCTCATGTGGCAGGAAGAACGGCTGCTCAATGTCGTTGAAGTTACTCCAATTACTCCAATGTAGTCCAAGAAATGAAGAAGTCTACAACCTTCTTGGAAGCAAAATTTATAGATCACACCAGATTCTTGACGAACTCCTTCTTTTTCAGAGAGGCCGTTGCTGCGTATTGTTCGGCGTTTGATGTTGTTGTCAAGGGTGTCACTGAGCCAGTTGAATTCATCGCAGGTCTTGAGATGAAGTTGCTCGATTTTAATACTGTGAGACCTGATCAGGTTGCGAGCTTGTCTCAGGTGACAGGAAAGTCTACCACCTTCTTTGAAGAAAAATTTATAGACTACACCAGATTCATGAAGAACTCTCGCTTTTTTGAAGGAGCCATTGCTGCGTATAGTTCGCGATTTGACGTTGTGGCAATGGGTGTCACGAAGCCAGTTCAATTAATCGTGGATCTCGAGATAAAGTTGTTCGATAGAAAGACCCCGAGACAATTCGAAATTGATTCCCGAGTTTTCAAATTTCGTTTTTCTGAGTTCCCTTATGGTTAATGGGATTTTCATCAAAATTAATTCAGCTTTGTGTCTCACAGCTGTCATTTCATCTCTTGCTTCCGGGTCACGGGTGCAGAAATTTGAATATGATAGCAGAATAGCTTGTTTAAAAACGAGTGGTTAATGACCAGAGATTTCGTTGATTTAATTTTCAAGATCGAACAATATTCTTCAGATGACGGTTCCAAATTTTCGTGTTGTATCATATTTACGTGCGTCATGTACTTATTTCCGCCCAGATTTCAATATTAAATGCTTCCTATAACTTGAAAATAAATGTTGTCACATTCGAAACGTCGTTAATCAATTAAATTACTTCCTTGAAACTGCATTTCGATCAACCAGCGTCATCTGAAGAATGTTGCTCGATCTTAAACATTAAATCAAAGAATTCTCTGGTCATTAACCAACCTTGTTTAAACAAGCTTATTCTGCTATCTTATACTAATTTCTGTATAGTAACTAAACACAAATGCTGTCAGAAGAATATATGAAATGAGCGTTAAAAGTGATTGCATCGTTATCTGTTAAGATGGGATGGTATAAATGCAAAAGTGTCAATGATATCAAGGGATGTACTCACACATGTACAATATTATATATTTTCCTCAAAGTTTGTTTGTGTAAGATTCGACTACCGAGGTACAAGTAGCTCATGATCTCAAGGAAGAGAAAATTCGATCAAGGTTTGAATGTCTACACATACTTTAAAATCGCAGTGTAGTTATTGGTTGATTTTCAAGCTGTTCACGAGCGTGAACAGCTTGATCAGCGTTCAGGATATCCCCTTATCCCTCATAATTTATAATTACCTTTAATATTTTTTTAATAATTAGCTCTAAAAAGACTCAGTGTGTCATATTTTACAGATTCAAAACATCCGTCATGTTATCCTGTGAGACTAGATTAAATTAGGACCCGAATACATTAGAGCATTAAAGCAATTGCTCAGGGGAACTGAAGATCGAGATCCCGACCGAAACAGAAAATATTACTCTATGATATTTTGACCTTGAAACTCTCTTTAGAATTGTTTTAAATTTTGCCCAGGAGTGCCTGAATTTAAAACGTGAAAAGAAGGAAAATGAGCGACAATGCAATCCAGAGAGATTCTTCTGAAACACATATTGTCAACAGAAACTCGTTATATTTTCAGATAAACATTGAATTACGAATGACAACACTGGAAAGCTGAACCTAAATGGGAACCACTCTAAAAAACTCATCTATCGTAACTTTGAATTCGTCGGTGATGAAAACGAGTCAATTACATTCATGGAATTGACCACTAACATTTGCTTGGAACATATATCACACGTTCTTGCGGAAGTCATTGACTTCATTTTTCAGCAACCAAGATGACGGCTGAAATACGAATGGAGTAACACACCATTAAGCGATTGTCTAGTAACTCTCAAACATCTCAATTGTAGCGCGATTGTAGCGAGTAACTCTCAAACATCTCAAACATCACTGGCAGTAATTGAGAAATTACATTTCATTCAGAAATAATTAGTGTAATTAATTGAAGGTAGGTCTAAGTCACAGAAAAATTTGCGAGCACTTACAACAAACGATTGCGTGTCGATGCATCAAGTCAATCATACACACAAAGATTTTTCGGAAAACGTTTCCATGCAACCAATAATTTGCATCGACATTTGCTGAAAATCTCTTTACATTTCAACAAAAATGAACTATCCCGTGAGAGTACAATGACAAGAACGCTAACTTGTGACGTGGCACTCATCCCCCATAAGCCAGTCTTACCCGAGAACAGATCATTTTAAAAAGAGCAATTTAAAATGAGCGACAGATTTGTTCCCAATGCAACTACAACCTTCCCCCCCTAAATGGTAAATTTTCTATTAAAATGGCTTTATTAAAGCCAATCGATTTACATTTGGGGTTCGATGAATGGCATCTATATGATGGACCGTCATCGTAATGCTGGTAAGGCACACCAAGGCAGTGTATTCGCTGCACGCATATAGCAATGAATGTCCAATCAGATGCAGAAAAATATTATTGAACGAACAGAATTATTTTGTATAAATAGAGCATGCATTTTTTTTCATTGCATCAAACCTAGATTTAGAAAAGCCGTGTAGCGGCACGATTGCATTTGTAGTCAATAATTTGTTCCGTCCGAGCAATAAATGAAGTGTATTCACACACATACACGGAATAGTAGTTATAATAACAATAAACTTCGGTATATATTTAATACGTAGGTTGTCATGTACAATTTGTAAAATAAGTGCTAAACGATCACATGCGTCTCTTTTCGGTACATAAAATATCGATATGAAACATGCGACATATAAAAATACAAAACTAAGGATAACCGTAGTTAGGTGGAATAAGCTTTTCTTGCAGATGCACCTCAGCCTCTCGAGAGACAGTGGCGTCACTAGGCCTATTTTAGGGGGGCCTCCGCTCGTCTACAATATTCTAAAGCCCACTAACTAATTGTATGTTTAATAATTTTCTTTTAAAAAATGCCGAAAAATTCAATATATTTCGGCCTGATTTTCAGCTTTAATAAATATTCATGCAACCAGTCATTATTAACTGGAATATGATAATAAATCTTTGGGGCCTTAGCCCTCTCAGCCTTCAAAACCCAGTGACGCCAGTGCTAAAGGATAAAAGGTACGCAGAAGTTTACTTTAATTCATATCTATGGACTCACAGAGTCAAAGCAAGAAAGCCAATCAACGAGTTCGGGCGAATAAAATGAACCCGAGCAAATAGATAGACGCATTGTTTAGAATTAAATCGATCCAAGATGCCCTCAGACCGAAACGATATTAGCAAATACACGTCGCCTACGAGATTCAACTTAAACACACAGCACTACACGTTTTCAACACTAGCATGATAGAGCTAGTAAAACTTGTGCCCTTATTCTATGTTGTTCTTTATTTTCTCCATTTACGGTTTCTGTTCCATGACGTGTAACCTATTTCAGCTTAAATATATGGATTTGATACAAATGCAGCGCAATGAGAGGACGAGGAAAAACATAGGCCAACGTTCAAAGCTTAAATTTCATTCAACTAGCGAGAAATTTTAACTAATTAGCAAATTTTAAGGCACTCGGATGAAGGCACTGCATTTGTCTCAAATACTGCATTGTCGTGCGATACATCACAGCTCATTTGCTTCCATTTCGCCGTACCAAGCGACTAGAGGAAGTACTTACGTTAGTTCAACTATTATGCGTGCTTTAAATTACAATAAAAATATAGCGGATGTAATTAGAACGGCACGATATGGCTGCCTCATCCCATACACACGTCACGTTCAGTCACAATAACGCATGCATAGTAACTTTAGGTCACGCTCTCGTGACTCAATCTCATGACGAACTAACACCGCCCGTTGTCCGTAAATCTGGACCGATACTAGAATCATTAACAGATATAAGGTCGGTGTTCCTATCATTTTCGGATAAAACTTTAGTGTTTACTATAGAAGAATCTTTCGTCTGTGAATTGGGAGAAGATGCGTCTTTAAAGCTGTTACTTAAAGATGTGGAGTTTGATATTTTTCCAGAATCATTATTTTTTAGTTGAAGATTTTCGAGTCTGTGAGCGGCTCCTTTGAGTACATCATTTTGTAACGTCTGAATTTTAGATACAGAATTTTTTACTCTGTCCAGAGGGTTATTACTATGGGAGCTTCGTCTCGAGGAGCTGTGTTCGGTGGCTTCTTTTTTACTTTGGTTGACTTGAGAGTCGAGGGTTGTCATGAGAGCGATGAGGTTGTCTAGCCCGATAAGGTAGCCGTCCTCGTGGGAACCTTCGACCCACGGAACTTTGTGAGTGACGACCACGTCGTCAGGCAGAGGGATGCTCTTAGCGAAGTCAATGAGCCACACGACGGCGTCGTCTTCGTTGTGCACGAACAGCAACGAGCTGCCAATCAGCTGCGGAACAGCAATAATAATTGAGATAACCGAGTTTCAAAATAACAATTTACAGTTTTAGATTCTTCATCATTAACAGTCCTGAAATTTAAAGAAAAAAAATCAGACTGAATATGAAAATGTATAGGTAATGAATAAATTTCACGCACAAGCAGTTATTACGATGCATATGAAGAACACTGTACGCGTGAAAATCTCCCAACCTACATTTTAGAACTCGAGTCCAACATAACAAGCATTTCTTGTTAAGTGGCACAACACTACTCACCTCATGCGACTTGAAAAACTCGGAACTCTCGAGAGTGGCACGGATTTCCTTAAGACGTTTCAAATAGCGAGCCTGCAACAGAAATAATATGAAGATTGATCCTGGGCTTTGCAGTGTTATTTTGATCAATGTGATAAACAGCGGGTAATTTGAATATCTTGAACTAAAACAACTCTTATATTTTTGAAAATAGTTCAGAAATCGGAGACGCTCAACAATAGTTGAAAAGAAACTCGTTAAACATTTATTGACACTCTGTAAACAAAATTAATTACTGTTGGACATTCAGCAGACTTGCGGCCAACAGTTATCACCTACAATCCATCCTCTTTCAAATAAATCTTTACAGCATCCTGGCATGGCTACAGTGCAGTGAAGACTCACGGGGGCGTGATCGTATCCCTGGACGAAGGACGCGAGTGATTCAAGGACCTGTTCCTGCGTGCGCGTCGTCTTGAAGTCTTTACTGGAGGTGCCGTCGCTCTTCTTCACGCCCTCGATGCGGAAGCCCAGAGTCGCTGTTGAGGAGATCGTCTCACGCCACACCATGTACCTGTAACGTGTGGTGCAGCTAGCTTTACAATATGTTAATCTATCCAATAGATAATATATTAAATATACTATATTACTCTATACCCTATATATTATATACAATACAGCTCTTCTTAGTATGGTAATTAACTCACGATAGGAAATTAAAGAGCTTGGAGGAGTAAAATAATTAATAAATATTTTTGGAATGAAAACGGTCACAGGGATGAGTGACGAATCGCTTAGTAAATAAATTCGATCAAAACAGACAATTAAAAGTATACAGAACATAAACTAGTGGGAAATTATTGTAGAACTGTTGAACAATGTGCAGTTATTGCAACAGTAGTCAACCAGTAAGTCAAGAAAAAAAAATTTCTTCGCAGGTTCCTATCATTTTCGTAACACGAGAAAGCGTCCCACATAGGGAGACGTGCATCAATCGAAAGCTCTTCACACAGAAGATCTCGCTTCGATATGAGATCACTCTATTCATAGGAGATCATTCTATTCATAGAATGTTAAAAAATTTTAAAATCGCCTAGTAAAATACGCACCACGAATGATGCATGGCGGCAACGTTTCTCTTGCGTACCTTGGCTTGGTGACGGCCTGGGCTCGCTGCTCGGCGTCTGACGGAGCGTTAGGGTCGATCTGGACCATCTTCTCGAACATGTCCTGACATAACAACATAATTTTCATTATGAACAGTCATAATGACACCCTCTCATCAGAGTTGATAATGAAAAGAAGCATTAACTTAGCCCATTCATCTTGCGAATTAATGACACTTTTGCAAGGTAGTCTAATAATATGAACAACATTATGTTGCCGTTGAATGCATAGGGCATAGCTTCTTCAATGGCAATGTGAAAATAAGACATTGGGTGATCCCTTTTACTTCTAGGCACAAGATCCATTAGCACTAGTAGAAACGCTAGGGATTTTGCGTATGTGGTTAAAAAGAAAGATTATACTTGCCTTCCTGAGCTTTGGCTTGACTCTAGCCTTGGCGAGCTCTTCCTCCAAGTAGGTTCGGACGCCCATCTTGATGTCCATCACACAAGGTGCCGTGAAGTTGCTCAGGAGGTCCTGCAGTTCCAGGTACTGTTCCTGGTCTCCTTTGTCCACCTGAAGGGACAAGAGAAGGTTCAGTATGAAACATACAAACATCAAATCGCTCGCTAAAAGCTTTTACCCTCACGCCGTACCTAGTGTCACTCTCCGGGAACATAACTTGCAACTTAAATTATACGTAAACTATCGAGTGTAGCAACCTGAGGACGTTTGTACGCAACAGAGAACATTTTAAAGTAACTTTCAACTTAAATTATACGTAAACTATCGAGTGTAGCAACCTGAGGACGTTTGTACGCAACAGAGAACATTTTAAGTTGACGTACGTGGCGGCAACCATCAGTGCAAGTCATTTTGCGCTCACTAGCAACGTATCCTTTTTGGATAGGCTCGTGTTACAATATTGCTCCTGTTGCTCATGACAGAGGGTAGAGGGTTAATTCCTTTCTTAAACTTTCGATTCGAGAACAACTTTAATCAATAGAAAGATCAAATTTACACGGTAGATTAAAACCATAATTGGTCAGATAAACAGGCAAGTAAAATTAAAATACAGAAGAATTTCTAATGGATAAGAACTACAGGCGCAGATATGACAAGATTTTCATTTGAAAATATGACAAAATTCTGGAATGTGAGACTTCCTTGAAGGAGCGTTAAATCCTTAAATAGCTTCAAGAAACAGGAACGTCGAGATGGTGCACAGCAGGATGGGGCGGATGGGCAAGTCATTTTGAAGTACACTAATACGCACTGCGCATAACTATATACTCGTAATCCATGGAAGGCCGTATCCGCGCGGGAGTTACATCCTTACATCTGATGAGGAAACCTTTTCACAAATTATTGACCGACAATATATGCAAGTGAACATTCCGATGGTATTTCTTGTTTACCATATCTAATCCATATGACTTTATTTTTTACGCGGAGTAAAAGCTGGGTAAGGTGCAATAAATGGTTTTCCTCTGTTCAACCTCAAAAACAACTTTAGAAAATCGCCTAGTTATTTTGATACTCGCAAGATTTGATGATAATTGATTCAGGTGAATTGGTGAAACGTAGTAGGGTTTGTAATAGGGAAATCTGTTGCAGGTTACTTTACTTTCGTTGCGAAATCGAAACTACGTCAAACGAATAAAATGTTCTATTAATGAAATAGTTTTCGAATGTTAACTTGAATAGGTATATTGTGGGTCAATCATTTAAAGATAGGTTAAGAGATCAGGTATACGGAGGTTATCTTGTCGGATGCGGGTCTTTTTAGCGCATTTCCTCATTTATGAAAAAATGAACTATTATGCTCGCCATGTCCGTCTGTCCGTCCGTCCATCCGTGACTTCAAGTTTTCGTCGACGAGAAAATGCGCTCTCTTGTCACTCACTGCAGTGAGTACAGAGTTATATTTTTTGTTTATTATTACAGTTGCGTGCAATGCGCGTCGTGATAAATCGTAATGACATCTCGATCTTCTACATCAGACTGGCCGAACACCAGGGCAGGAGTTATCGTTGTGAGCTTCTGCTTGCCTACCCGCCTCATTCTGCTTAGCGAATTCACGTTAAACAGAGCTACGATCCTTTTCCGAAAGCGATTTGAGTTCGGCCTACCTCTGGCGCTTTTTATTAACGGATCTCAGAATCGCGACATATTTTTAACAGAAAACCTAGTCTTACAAACACTTAAATTTATTAATCGCTGTAAATTATTCATCGATAGGTAGCTTCTACCTTTTCTAACCCGTTTATCAGGTTACTTGGGTTTCTGTCTCTTCGGTGTAAATTGGATAGTGCCAACGATGATACTTGTATTATTGGAGTTTAGAAGCTGGCCATCGAAAAGTTTTCAATGAAAATATGTTGTACTTAGATGTTATTACCTTTGATTTGAAATTTTTATTCAACTTGAGTTTAAAGCAAAGTGATAATTCCTTAATTATATTGTAATATAATAAGCATTTATCTTAACGACTTCCATTACGTTTATTCGATGAACACGGAATTATTTCTCCTCTGAAAAGTTTCATTTGTTATTTTCTCGAAGCCTCTTCTTGGAGAATGGAACTTTCAATCTCTGTGGCTTGCTGAGGTGCAGCGGTGACTACAAATAGCGTGATTATATCTCAGGCAGCTGTACAAGCTGCATGCACAGGTGGAGCTCCAAGTTGGGAGTATAGGTATTATTTAGCAAGAGATTATTCAGTGACGAACAAGAATTCACCTCCATCAACTATGAGATGTGATAAAACCGTAGCAGGGAAATATGATATTGGGGCACAATCAACGACATTAATTCACTAGATAATAAAATATCAACTATATATTAGCTTCCGCAATGGCTGCAAGGGGAATCAATGAACACAAGAAGAAGGCGAGACTCGTCAACATAGATTGTGTCGTTGATCTAACACATTCAAATTTCTAATTTGAGTTCACAACTTAAAAACAATTTTCAGGTACACCACCCTAGCTTCTGTCACTGTTTTAAAATAGTTGAGCAGTCCATATTAAACAATATTGAACAAAGTTCCGAAATGAAAAACAGCGCTTTGATTTTGCGATTTGCACAAATTTGTCGCGTTAAATAAATGTCCATTAATATACTTCTCTCTATAGTTTCGTTCTGATTTATGTATATCTAATTTTCAATAGTTGGCATTAACACCAGAAGTTCGAAATTTAGGTTAAGTACCGTACATATCGCAATAAGTACCATAATTTAGATTAAGTATAAGTAGTAGCATGAAGTACTACTTATGGTACTACTACTTTCTCATAAGTACCATAAAGTTGAGATTGTAGACTGCGAGAAAGATAGACTCACCAGGCCCAGGTAGCGAGGGACGTAAGGCTCGAGCTTGTCTTTCATGAGGCGCTCCAGCGCTCGCTGCTCGGCGAGGCAAAGCTTCTTCAAGATCGTGCCTTGCTTGTCGCCTGCCTTGAAGTTCCCTAAATAAAATAAAATTCGTTTAACAATAAAATAAAATTAATACACAAATGAAGATATAAATACAGTTCTGCATTTAAATTTGGAAAGGATACCAATGCCGCAGCCTCATGCGATTGTCAAGGCGATTCAACATTGATCATCACGAATTAGAATGCATAACGATTAAAATATTCATTGAAATATTTTCAACACCGAAACCGGATATGAAAGGAAGGATTCGAGGAAAAATGGATTGGTCCCGTCAGCAAGAAAAATTTCAGTCATTAATAAATCAACTGACTTCTTAACTATCATGAAAAAACTTGCAACATGCGGACAAAGCACTGAATGAAATGTACTTATTCCTTTTCACGAAAAGGTAGCAACTATTCAGAATGAGTGCCTATAGTCGATTCCATTGACTGCAAGATTGCATAGTTTAGGTGAGAGGCACATAAATTATTTTGGAGCACATATCGGATTTTACAGAACGTATCTTAGTGATAAGGCAATGCAACGGAACCAAGTATGTATTATCTTTAAGAACAAATATCCTCAGCTGCTCTCAAATTCTGACTGTCATGGCGTCAGGAAATTATATATGGAATCCAAACGCAATAGCCACGACGCAATGTAGTGACATAAAGATTCCAGTTGTGTGCCCAATATTTAATTTTTATTATGATCATACATGCAGAGTTGAAGGGAACACGTAGCAGAAGTCCGTGCCAAGAATACAGATGAATTACACAGCACGACTAAGAAGTCTAAAAATAAAACATCACTGACCCTATGTGCCAACGAAATAACATTAGTGTTGTGGTACACCAAATAACCTCTAGGAGTGTTGGCGCGTAAAGCAGGTGAGCGTTTGGTGCAAGTTTGGAGCATTTCCAGATTTTAAGGACCATAAATTAAAACATTTAATTCAAAAACTGCATTGAATTAGTAAATTTCTAGTGAAATTTTAAAAATAGTAAGGGCCAGAAGATGCGTAAATTTGTTGGCGCGATTACGATAACCATTGCAACGAAGAGGTTTTGTATATTAATGAACCAAAATATGAAGAATCGTCAGTGCCTGTCTAGAAAAACATTCCGTCATCTAAACTCGTGTGCAATTGTGCAGCAAGGTTGCGTGCGTAGGATACATGAACGAAGAAAGCGCGCGTCAGGCCTCAGCTCCGAGACCGAAGAAAATTTCAAAATTATCTATACGGAGGTGCTGCAACCTCTCGTGCTAACCACCACCGAGTGCTAACGAACTGTAATTAAAAGAGCACCTTCAAAATCCACGGAATTTGAGGCAGGTAATGAAATCTAAATAGTCACACCGAAAAACACGAGCCTCAGTAAAACAAATTAATCCCATAGCAGTAGTCACTTGACTTCACACAGTTGTCATTCAACAACCCTATTCAAAATTGTAGGAGAGAAACAATAAAGTTGCCTTCAAGATAATATTTCAGACTAAAAATGCAAATTATGAGTGACATCAAAATTCTTCAGAGGAAAGACTGTTACTTTTAGACTAAATTTTTCAGAACGTAAGTTAAAACACCCAGCCACCTACAGCTCCCAGACAACTTTATTGGACCTGATCAACGTTGGACGAAAAGTCGGCAATAAATCTTAATATGCCGTATTACGCGTCTAAAACATTCAGCAAAAAACTCTTCAGTTAGCAAATAAAATTCACAGACCTTAAATTACTCGAAGTAATTTAAGATAATGGGTACACCTCAAAGAAAGATCTCTGAGGTGGCGACATCAGCCTTAGTAAAACATTTTGATTAATGTACATTGATAGTGCATTTACCCTAAATTGTTTTAAATACTTTATAAAAAATATAAAGGGTGACGAAAAGAATACTTGAGAGCTGCAGAAAGAAGCGTTAAAAGGTTGAGGACTCCTTAATGTGACGAGAGCCAGCAATCCGACGACCAGTCGAATGAATTGGATTACTTTACTACAAAGAATAAAAAACATGGACCAAAATCTATCTAAGAGTGTTGTATAGATGATAATCAGACAAGGTGTCATTAAACGTTTAAAAAGTAACAGCATTCATATTAGAACATAATATTGAACTCCTTTTCATTCACAACACAAGGATTCAATGGTTTATTATCCAACATTATTTTTCTATCGATATTTATGAAAGAGAATTTATGATTTTGAAATTTATATTTAATATTAAAAATGACCCAACGTATCATGTGTTATGAATAACCAATGCTTTATAGTATGATGCATGATTTATATCGCTTTCAGTCACAACTCTGTCCGACTTGGGGAAAAAACACGTGAATCTAACAAGATTAGACGTAACTTTCGTCAATGAAGCTATATATATTTTGAAGCTATATCTTGCGGGTCGACGCAATAAAATATAATCACAAACAACACTGAGCATTACCAGAGTACTAAGATATTTAACACTTAATTAGTTTTCATGAACGGTTGCGATGTAAAGAAGCGTCGTAAAGATGGTATAAAATGATGCATAACACTTAGGAGTGAACCTGTTCTCGAGACAACGACATGCAGATATTCCAACAAGTCAGATATGTACTTCTATTGAATGTGAGTTTGGACACTGGCAATGTACTTCGCGGCAAGGCTTCACTTCCAGACTTCTGTACATGGTTGCGCAACTAAATGCAGGCTTTGGTAATCTCGAGTTTATTTTAGTCATTTATAGAACCCACTCAATGTTAAGTGATGCCCTAAAAAACGTATATAATCGTCTCCATAAATAATATGATTCATCAGAGATTCCAGATAGTGGGCATCATTGGTCGCATAGTTGTCGGCCATCATTGTGTCGTACAAATTCCTTCGCAAATTGATTTAAATCGATGCTCTTAACTATGAACTGAATCTTGAACATGTAAAAAATGGAGTATAGATGGAGAAAAAACGACTAATTGCCAGAGACGTGAGACGTGAAGGTGAGAGTTGAGACGGCCATCACAATAAGAATAGAATAGAATAGAAGTGTCGGCGTTGAAGAAATAGGTCCATGGCCTGTTGCCGATTCTTGAACTTTTCGTGACTTGATTCACAAGGGATCCGGCCTTCGAAACCCGATCTTTCCAGAGCTGACGATTGATTGAGATAGCTGCTGGACTTATTGCCTGGTCCGTAATTTGCTAGGCATTTAAGATTGAACATATGCTCCTGCATAGCTTCGTCGACTAAGCATCGGGTCGAGCGACAAGATTTAAACCGAATGACAGAGAAGTTCTTAAATGACGTCTTTTATTATTGATAATTAATTTCGTCTACTTTAAAGCAATAATGCAACATTTTAACAAGACGGAAATTATATTAATGCAATTCTAACAAGTTTGAAGTAGTCAATAGTGGAATAGCGAAGTGAATCATAGAATTCTAATAATAGAGCATGGAAATATAAATGAGCATAGGTTCAAAAATGTACAAGACAGGATAGATACTTGGTTAAAATTGCATCTGATTAAAATTGCATCTGACTGAGAACAAGTTCGGCGAATATAGAAGCTCGGTACAGCAATGAAGTAGCAAGCTTATCATCAAAAAAATTTTTTACTGCTGCTGCAGCTGCAGCATTTAGCAACGATTGCAAGTTGTCTATGAAAAAAAATCAACCACTTTGAGCTTTATCCTTGAATGGGCGCTATTCTGGCCACTAGAGACCAGTTCCTTGAGAGCTCAACAAGTTCCCAAACAAGTAAAGCTTATTACAGACCAGCAGCTCCACATGCAGAACCGGTCCCGAAGGTTCAGAAGTGTCGTGCAATACTACGCACCTTCTGCATCGTCGCTGACAACGACAGAGCGACGGTGACGTGTAATAATGACGATACTAGGCGTGCCTTTCATGGTAAAACAACGTCACTGATACCGGATATACAAGTCAGCTATCACGAGAGAACGACATCACCAGCCTCAGTAACGCCGCAGCAACCCATGTTTTGACTGTCCACTCGTGTTCACGACCAATTGGTTCACTGAATATCGCAATGAAATCAAGAATTCAATGATCGTCGCTCGGATCACGTCGTGGTCAAATTAATATCTTATTTTATTTCAGACTGCAGTATTCTGAATAGTGATGACTAAGCTTTGAGTAAGCTCATAATTTTGAAATAGTGGAGTTGGGCTTGGCGGGGATCTTCGGCTGGTCGCGGTAATCGGCTGAATTAAGAAAAAAATTTTTAATAAAACCACGGAAAGTAGCTCCTCCAGAATCACTGCATGATCAACAATGTTCCAGAAAGACGTCCAGAATTAGAATATTGTAAGAAAATTTGCGAGAGAAAAATAACTCATTTAACTCTTGTAAATTTACACAATGACACAATATTGACATACACACAATACTATGCAAAAGGAGGAGTAGGTGACACGATATTTGAGAATTTATGATGATTACGAGCTGCGAAGCACAATCGAATAAAAAATAAACCAACAGGAGACAAACTTCTCCTCTATTCGCTATTAATAATAAGCAACAACACCGAACACGAGCGACAGACGAAGTAACAGCCACTGCGGAAAGCCGCACTCGGGGCTCAGCGATAACGCAGCTGCAGGTGGCGCTGTGTTGTCACCACAAGCCATGTAGCAGTCGTACATGTACTAACATAACATAACATAACATAGTGATGTCGGCTCTGAAGTGTAGGCCTGATGTGGCCTGTCGCCGATTCTTTTCCATTTCGTGCCTTGTTCATAGATCTAAACTCGTGTCATTTGACCGGATCTTTTCAATACTAGCCGTTTTTCTCACTATTCGCACAATTTTGATTGAACTGCACTAACATTGAACCTTTCACTGAAATCGTTTCGGTACAAAATTCGCGAGATAAGTCAAACCGGCATAGTAAGAAGTGAGAAAGTTGGGACCCGCAAACACTACGTGCGTCCTCGATCACTGCCAGAACTCAACTCTGGTCTAATAACACTGGTCACTCAATACTGGTCTAATAACACGCATACTCCTGCAATAGCACAGTCAATAGACAGCACACACTCCCAAAAGGTATATTATGCCTCTACCCTTGAAAAAAATTGAACAGCAGTATGCCTGAATTCATGTATCTTGATATTTGAACAAATCTTATTAGTGTTGGTGATAACGCAACCGGCTATCACTAACCCGTCTCCAGCCATTTTTCTGGTGCATTCAGGAGCACATAAAAATTCAATGTTTGTCAAATCGTCAATAATTTATTAAAATATAGATACTTAAAGCACTTTGTCATAGGACAGTCCACTCAAGACCGAAAATGGAGCTCAAAAGCAAACAAGCAGAGAGCTTCGCCCACGAGAGCTAACAGCCACGCGAGGCCCAGCGACCGCCCACCACTGCGTCAATTGCAGCCGCATGCCGAGCGCAGCTCACGCACTACGTTGCTATAGTGCCAGTGCTTACTCGATGAAATGCAAACATTACTTCATAAAACATGAGATTAAGAAATAAATGTTTATTCTTTAAAGAAAATAAAGCGCACATGTAATTAGGTAAAAGAATGATGGCGATTGAGAGCCTGCAGAAATATAAACTTCTCGCTTAATCTCTGTGAGCAAATACACTTGAGAAGCGAATTTGTTAACGCCTTCAAAATACAAATGACGCTTTGAAAAAAATTTCCCGTGAATATAGTTTCTGAATCAACATGAAGAATGTACGAACGAACGAACGACTAAGCTAAATCAGTAAGAATTACTACGTATTAAGAACCGGAACTATTTCGCCATCAATTACGAATTTTTTAAGTTTTACCGGAAATATTTCGCCATTCCAATTACGAATTTTATATTTAAATGAGGTAATGTGTATATGGTTGTTACTCTGTTTCTGGCTTTCATTTCTAGCTCTCAAAATTGCCAAACAAGCTTTTTATGAACATTAACCCACACTTTCCCTAAAGTTGTTTAGACGAAGGTACAATTCAGGTGGCACTCTTTTATGAAACTGGTACATGTTTTGATTGTCGAAATATTCGAAAAAAATTGAAACAAGACACTAAACTCTAATCTACGAATGTATTAACTGATTTCAATGTTCCTGCTGCAATATTTACGCCTGATAACGGGATTAACCTTCAGTAGAAGGAGAATTAAACTAATAAATTTAGCTACTTTTATTACGGGAATAGAAAATAATAATGATTACGGGAATAGAAAATAATTTTGAGTAACAGCTAACGCGAACGACACGTGAAAAACTGCTTTGACAAACGAAAGTTCGCCCGCCGTAGCCACCCACTAAATCCCGGCATGGCAACGCATTATATTCGACGACTGACGCACTGAATTGAACAAACAACAAACATACGTCAGATAGTCACTCGAATTAAATTTTATTTCATTTTTCGGTAATACAACGTCATGTCGAGTGCGCCTCCTCCAAGAAATGATAAGACCGAGAGACGTGCGACATTGACACTATGCGCTACATTACAGATAAGCGACACCTTGAGTCGCAGGGTGTACAGAACTGTGAAAGATTTGTCTGACATCGCAAACATCTAAATCGATTGTTGATGAAAAACGGAGACAACGAAGCGCCAACACAATTGCTACAAATATTTCCGTTGAAAGCACCAACAGTTGAAATAACGAAAAACCTAGGTATTAACATATAAAGCTCCTACGAACGCTGAACTTTCATTTATACGATTTCGAGTTAGTTTAAACCAATTCAAAAGATGAACGATTTAAGAGAGCTTTGGTAGGTTAAAGGAATACGTGTACGTCGTCCTGATAACATGCTTCCCGTAACAGATTGTTTAAGGCCGATAAGCTCCGCGATAAGATACGAACCTCAAGTACCATAAATAATGAACATTTTATTAAATGCGTGTTAGAAGTGTCAAAGTTAGCACAAAATTGCACCTTCAGGAATATGCTTCCACGCAGTTTAAGTAAAATCGAACAAGAGTATTGGAAGAACTTTAATCACAACCTGAGGGTAATAAGCTTAAGCAACTCATCGTACGCTTCAAATGATCTTAGTTTATGAGGTTAGGTTAAAAGGTGACAAAAATCGAGAGCTCACCTTGATGACCAGCGAGTTGCACCCAAGGATACTTGTGTCTCTTGTACGTCTGAATAAACGGCGTCCACTGAACAACATTCTTCACTTTACGCCAGTTGGATGTCTGCAAAAGAAAAAAAACGCTTTCGTTGATATTGTATTGCAAATAAAATTTCCAGCAATAAAATACGATGAAAAGTGCTTCAGTTATTAGCCGGTTTAATGAATCATCGCATCCCTTGCTTTAGAATCTTAACAAAAACTAAACGATAGGAAAAAGGAAACTACAACATAGTCGCAGGTAGCGGATCACTCGTACCATGACGTGAAGAATTAATTGCTCCCATTGTTTCTCTAGCAGGATATTCGGGGATCATACAGGAATAAGAGAGACTCGTATAACCCGCATGCGGCAAGCTAAACCGGCGCTTTTTGAAGCACCGCTAAAAAGGCAAACATCAAGAACAAGTCATGGGGAAAAGTGAACTGATGAACAAAAAAATAACAGGCTGAAACAAAGATGTACGGGGAGCTAATAAAAACAATCGTTAGTTTTCATTTTTTAATAAAAATATGGAATTTTGAGAATTCTCGAGTGAAGAAATATTAACTAAAATTAATATCAATTAAGGTGTTGAATTAACTTGAGCAGGAGTCGCTGTCCAAGGCGAAGAACTTCAATGATGCTGACCTAATTACTGACTTGATTTTCCTTGGCTTCATAGAATCAGGAGACCCTAGGAGCTGAAGTGCAAGATATGATTTATGACCTCGCACACCATGCATTAGGAGCCCTGGATCAACAGGCGGGAGCTTTAACATCGAGCCTTGGACCACCAGTCGCTTCAGTAAAAAAAAATAGCCTTTTGAATGTAGTCTTCCTTCGTTGCATGGCCAGCGCAATTTAGGCTACGATAAAAAAATTCAAAAATGCTATGTACATCATGGCGGCACACTTTAGTAGATGATACCAGACACAGCCGAATCATGTATGAATGTTCTGCGAGCACAGGGCAAGTTCAATGCTCGAGAGTTGACAGAATTATTCAAATGAAATTATCTTGACAGTCCCTAATAACCTGCATGCCGGCCTCAGCAAAAGTTCAGAGTGCACCACAAGCGAACTGTTTGTATGAACCAACCCCCATAGTGGATGCAAAATAACCCACGCCGGCTACAGTTATTATTTGACAAAATCAAATCAGTAACTGAAGAACCATCGCTGAACATGATTGCATAACATTTAAAAGAAGTTCGAGTAATTTCTTCGAGAGATTACCTGATTGAAAACGAGTTGCATGACTTGCCAACCGCAGGAAACATGGCCTAACACGAGACACATCAAGACCCAAGCCTGAGATTACTGCACTTGATTCGTGATCAAGAAATTTAGAGCGATAATGAAGCGAACTGTTAGATATGCTACAAGAGACATACGGACCTCATCAATACAAATAAACAACCCATCGAACTTCACACCTATAGAAGATATCAGGCGAAGTATGGAGGGTCATAGCAGAACAAACGATTCATCAAATTAAGGTGCACGGCTTGAAATGTAAAGATTCATGCTCAAATAGGAGCAATGGATGAGCTTACGCCAGTTAATTTCCTTCCTAATAATATTTCCAGGTTATTAAAATCAAGAAGTATTAAAAAATGGAAAGATTTACCACGTGCCGTCTAGCTAGGCTTATCGTCCCAAAAAATCGCCTAGTGTAGAACCTACGGACGCCCACGCTGCTTCTATAAAAGCGGAGCTTCGTTAAGCTCCGCGCCCAATAAGGAGGGAACGACTTCAGGAAAGACGGCGCGCTGGTATAACCTAACTTGCGATTCAACTACGACATGGCTGACGCCAACGACAGAATGGCTCTGATCAACGGAAGACAAAATCTAAGTTGGCGTAATTTCAAGCTATATGTAAATTATCAATCTCTATTACGAAATATCACCTATTGATTTTTCCAATTTTTAGGCGATTTATTGGTAGGGTTGAGATGATTGCATTGATGATCAATTGAGAAATTATTGTATTACAATAAATTGTCCAAGTTCTTTTTTAAATAAGCAAGCAATTGAGCACTCTTATTTATCAGTTACTCAATTTTTTAATCACCATAACAATCGCTAATGATGATCATTGCAGAGAAAAACGTATGTGCTTGAAACAGAGAATTATGAAGCAGATTAGTTTGTCAGTTCACTCAACACATGTCAGAGCAAATTCCGTATGTCGGATCAGGTCACAACACAAATATTTCATTTTCTTGCCGACATATAAGTAAAAAATACTAGCTCAAGACTGGAGTAGTTTCTATCATGTGACTTGATCGTAAATATTCATTGTAAAGTTCCTGCCCTAAAGCTGATGGTGCAATGTAATTATTTGGCACTCACACGCGTTTACATTATCACCGTAATGAAATATATCATTTCCGAAAGAACAAAAGATCATCATAACGATATGCGCTTAGACCCAAATGTGAGCATTGGTCATCGAGTTTGTGCGTTTGACTCGAGAATTGAATTATACCAGGACAGAAAACCGTTTAGAAAAATAATTACATGCAGCCATCGCTTCAAAAAAAAATAATCATACACCAGAATTACTTTTCAAGCGAACGAATACTATATACACCATTGTAAATAAATGAGTAGTGATGTAGCGAGAATGTTAAAATTATTCGGCAAAATTGCAAAAAAAAAACTCATTCGACATTTGCCATGAAATAAAAAAACAGCTACTGGTATCTGTTTGTTTCTCTGGTATAAAAGCAAAAATTTACTAAATTAATAATTCTTTCGTCACTGTTATAGCGTATTTATCAACTTAACAGAATGAACTACAGAAGTTAAAATATATTAAAGAAGGTAATAGAGGGACGTGACGGATGAAGCAACATCCGAAATTTACAGATGATAAATTTTGAGATTCCTGTGCACCACAATCCATAACTATGCAAAAGGAAGCGTGCCGTCACAGGTGTTACAAATCACAGGAGTGGTGAATACATGACTGACATTATTAATTGAATTGTATAAGTTAGAAGTGCCGGTCATTTGTCATAGACAATTCCACCCACGCGAAGAAAATATGGTATCTAATGAAGTTAGACGTTCCTCCATTCACTGGTATTGGAATTGGGGGCGTGGAGACCTCCAGGTCAGACCTTAGCATACATAGGTCAGCTCATAGTCATATATTCAACGAGTACAGCAGCACACTTCCCTCCCAGACAATTAAAATACATCCATACCTCTCAGATAGTTGAAATATATTTAACCAAGATTATATATGTGACTTAAGACGTTCTTTGAGACCAAAATTACCATCCAAAACTAGAATATTGAGGATTGTGGTGTTAGGCTTTGCAGGATACCTACGGCAAAAAAAAATTTTTTTGTTGCAAAAAAAAAAGACATTCAAAATATAAATACATCCTGAAATAGGAATCAAGGCGAAATATTTGGTAATGTTGGTGCTCAATTATTTACCTAATCTCACTCACCAAGCATCGAAAATCAATCCAGGTCGTCCACCGAATCTTTTTCTTTCTTTCTCATCATCCAAAAATATCTCATGTCACCATGAGTCACAGTCACACCTGCTCCCTGTGACTAACTCACAATTACTGGAATCCACACATCGCCCGTTTCCTCTCATCTAGTCTCTCACACATCACAATTCACAATTCTCAAACACCTCACACAACAAAATTAGGTGCTGCACAGTTTCCTTCACACCGCAACCGCCCAAGAAGTAATTAATACTCCTCTGCACTCTTCCACTCATCTCCTCACTCCACGAGTATGCACAGACTTGGTAATTACTTCCATTACGAGGAGTCGAAAGCAATGCTGATTTATAAAGGTGGGAACAGGCAAATTTTATTCGTAATAATTCTGTATTAATTAATATTGCAGAACCATATTATCACAAAAACTGAAGTTGAAATTCGTCAAAATACCTGTAGAGTCGTATTGTATTTCAATTGCCTTTGAGTAACATATAACAGGATATCCAACTCAACTGCTAGTGTACACTGTCCACAAATTAGTATAATTGAAACCCTTATACTGGAAAATCGTGTCCGCACTTATATCACTACAGTAACACGGGACATTTTTTATCTAAAGTAATAATATTTTAATAGTAAGCAGAATGTAACCGACATAGGCAGAGTTCTGAAATTTACTAGCGACGGTATTCTTAATTCGAGGTTATTAATGGAGATTAAGATGGCCTGCAATGTGGTGCATTCGATTCAACAAATACCTAGAATAGAAACACAAATACGGTACAAATTTTGCAGGAAATCGCGCACTTGCAAAATTAGAGTCGTCTTCGTTCCATGTGAAACAAAGGTCTTACGTAGCGTTAAAGTCCCCTTCCACTCACGCCCTTAAAACAAAGTTTGTGAAGATATAATATGCGAGTTTTCAATATTATTTAGAGACTAAATTATTTGTTTGTACCTTCTGCTGAGCGGGAGGAGACTCTTGCAGAGGTAGTTCATATGTCTCGTCAGCAGACAGATCATCGTGACTGGCGGAATCGTACTCAGTAGGAAGAGGTAGCAGCAGCGTGAGCTGGTAAGTGTCATACCCGGGTGACAACGTCACCAAGCACTTCTCGCCCTCGGCCGCAGTCACGTGTATGGGAGGTGTATGTGTGCCATCCCGTGAACTACTCATCGTGTTCTAAGTCCTGATAAATGAGTTCAAAGTTTTGTACAGACGCCGTGACTGTACGATGTTCATCGACTTGCAAATGAAATGCTATGCTGGAAAACTAACAGTTGAGAATTTTCAAGACCCGTTGAAAGGAACTTTTTATTCAACGGGGGAGGAAGTTGAGAAACACTATTAATATTAGTCCGAATAATGTGGGAGGTAAAAACGATTATGCTGCATATTTAAACATGAAAATATTGAATAGGTTTCAAACTCAGTTAAGCTAGGGACCTTCATGGATTGAAGGAACGCAAATGCTTCACCCGTCAAATGCATCAAACTGTGGGTTTATTGCAAATTTCCAAATAAAAGATTATACGTAACGTAACGGTACGTATAATCGTATAATCTTTTAGTATTATAATCGTATAATCTTTTTTTATCCAT